GCTGGAAGACCTGGATAACCTGACAATGGGGATGCTGGAAGACCTGGCATCACAGGTTCAACCGGCGATGAAGGAGGAACGGGCAAAGCAGCTGGTAAGCCTGGGGATCCAGGAGCAAGGTTAGCTAAGTTATCGCTAAAAAAAATGAGAAAACATTAAATATTGTACCAGGAAAACGGCAAAACTGAAAAAAAAAATAGAAGAAATATTAAATATTCTACCAGGGAGATGGCAAGACTGGTGTGATTGGAATTGTATCGGGCCCAGCTGGGAGAGTTTGTGAGTAGGCTTCATGATAGAATTTCTTGATGATCGGTCGTTCAATCTTGATGATCTTTTTATCCACAACAATTGGAGCCGACGTAACAGTTTGAACGTATGGTCGGTATTCAGATTGACCTGGCTTTTGAATTATTACTGGCGCTGGTTTAATGATGACTGGTTGGCCTGCGTTAACAACGAAACTTTGTTGTTTGCGATTAATCACGATCGGGCTTTGCTTATTAATATACACCTTGGGCTTTGGGACAAGCGGAACAGTTGCTGGTGGTTGAGGCACTGGTAAAGGCAAAGGCATTGGTTGTGGCGCAGGGACAGGAAGAGGTGAGCCACAAGGAGCTGTCGCTGAAATGAAAAAGGAAATTGTTTGGTTAGGAAAGGCACAATAGAAATTTAAGCGAATCAATCACTATTCTGATTATGATGTGTTCTCGACTTACGTATTGGTAACGGCAAAGACGATGGTGGTAACGGCAAAGACGATGGTGGTAACGGCAAAGACGATGGTGTAGGGAAACCAACGCTGCCACAGCTACACTGAGCATAAACCAAAGCGTGAGTGCTTAAAATCGCCAACGCGAATAAACTTGTCTTAATCGTATTCATTTTGTTGCGCGTAATACGACTTGAATGTGATAAGCTGTGCTGTACGTCTGAATGAACGACTCTGAATGGGCATGCTTTTATACTCAATCAAATGACCAGAATAAAAATCATATATATGTTTCATGTACGTGCCATAATCCTACACTTCGACAAAAACAAAGCCAATGAAATGATTCGATGCAAACATACTGCCACATACAGCGTCTACAGTCATTCATTCGTTTGATTAACAAACGGTGTTTTCACATTTTTGCATTTCAACACAACATTGCTACGAAAATATTTACGATTTTACATACACAAGTTGATCCGATCAGCGGTTCGGTGAATTGTTTGTTTACGGTTGCACTGGAAATTATTGATGCATTCTTCTTAATATGTGGAAGCCGAAAAAGCACTCAAAGCATGTAGTTTAGCTCGTAATTCATCACATCTCTTTTGAACACGTGCATACAAAGCAAAACAATTAGGTAATAACAAAACAGAAAAAAGACAACATTCGTTCATTCGCTCATTCACAATGACAACTTTATTGAAAATAGAAAAAAAATACTTCGCCACACATCTAGTAAGTAGTAGTACACAGATAAAAAATAATAAATACAACCATTTCTAAATATACATACATATCAATTAATCAATAGACAAAAAACGTTTTGAGTGATTTATCATTTAATCACCACGCTTTTTTGCCGTGCAAATGCTCTAACACTTGACGAATGTCTTCGTTCGAACTATTTTTGTAATCTTCGAAGCTCAAAATTTCGAATTGCTTGTTGTCTTTGTTGAACTTATGGACGGTCGCCTTCGATTTTTCGGTCATGTTGTCGAATCGTTGTTCTGCGGCAGTGGCAGTTGCAGCATCGGTGGTAGCAGATTTACTTTGGCCAGGACTATATTTGCGAGGATTGGTTTCAGGATTGGTTTTGTCGTTTTTTGACGAGTACACTTTTACAACGAGCTTTCCATCTTTTCCTTCGTAGCGCATATGTGGAACTACTTGATACATGCTGCGTGGGAAATGACGTTTTGACTCTTCTGCTGCTGCTGATGTTTGCTTGTATTCAGGGGTGCTACGCTTCTCCTTATTTTCGTCCGTATGTTTTATCTCACGGCGCGCCAAATCTTGCACCAAACTTATCGCATCACTGGCGATGTCGATCGGTTCTGGCATAAGTCGACCGGGTACTGGATTCAACTGTTGAATGATTTCATGATGATTTCTCAAAATATCAGCCAAACCAGCAAAATTGGGCTGCTCTCCTACCATAGCTTCTTGATGCTGTTGTGGCACAATCAAACGTAAATTGCCATTATTTTCTAAATATTTGTGACCATAACGATCATAGATATAACGCGGTGCTGGTCGTGAATCAGTGTTTGGCTCCCTATTGGCTCCTGGATAATACGCCACTGGACGCCCGGTTGAATATTCTACGTATTGTGGTGGGCGAGATCCACATCGCGCGCATACTGAATTGTGATCCGACAATTGTGATCCACACTCATGGCAAAGCGTAGCCTTTTCCACTTTTTTTCCGTTCCATGACTCTTGTTGATCACTTGCTTTCAATTCGACACGCGATGTGGTTGTATGATGCTTGGAAATGTCTTCATTTTTATCACTATTCGCCTCGTATTCCACACGCAGTATTGGAAATCGTTTGGGGTCCATCATTTTACGGCGTTGCTCTTCGCTCGTTTCGGGAGCTTCACGTCTTCGTCGGCGCGTTGAAACTGCGGGAAGGCCAAAGTTTTGTGTGAAATTCTCTATAAAATAAAAAAAATAAGAAATATTAATATATAATAAGATATTATTATAATCAACTGTATTAAATATGTCCGAACCGTATATTTTGGTAGCATGTGAAACAAATGGCTCGGCTATTGAACTGAATCGGTTGCGCAATGCTGAAACGTCTAGAGCTGAACCCAATGTAGCTTCGCCTTGATCACCGCCACTTAGTTTTCGCGCTCGCTCTCTAATTCTGTCGGCTACGGCTTTGAAAGAATCACCATTGATTAGGCTTTGAATGGCATCGGAGGCGGGAGGCAAAGATGGTATTGCTGGCAATTGTGGCCCTGCTTGACGTGCTTTTCGGTTCAACTGCTGTGATGCGTCTTGTGGCAATTCGTAAACCACATAATCACCTCCGTTGTTATATCGAACAGGAAGAACATAACCGGAAGTGTATGGACTTGGATTTCGTTGTGAATTACAATGAATTGCGCATTGTTCTGGTGAATACCCACATGAGCATGGTTTTCCTTGATTGCATGCACATTCTAAAATCACACAAAAATCGAATAGAATGGAATTAGTTTCAATTGATTGATATCGATTATCATTTTCAAATACTCACCAGTCTTGTCGTATGTGGATCGATCAACTTTTGTGAACATAGTTCGTTGTTCTGGTTCATCAGATCTTTCTTCAGCTGGCCTTTGAAGTGCATAGTCGAATTTGTACTTTGTATCGTCGGGCTTTGGCTCACTGGCAGGCGTTTGAATGGCATAGCCATACGACTTCCTACATACAACGACATAACGCATCATTAGATTACTGTGAAAAGAATCAAATCAAAATCGATTGCAACTTACAATTCAGTTTCGGAATCTTCGGCTACTTTGGGCTGTTCAACATCAAAATCGAATTTATACTTGACATCTTCCGATTCTTCGGCAGCGGGCGGTGAGTACTCATAATCGGATCGTTTAGCCGAACTACAGCCACATGATCCAGTGTAGTAGTCATTTACATTGGTTGGCTGCAAATAAAAAAAAGAGCAACAACAAAATCAGTAAATTTCATTCAAAGTCAGCGTACAAATTCGTTCGATGAAACTTACCACATAGTATCCAAGCGTATGACCAACGACCAACGTACAAATTAAAGCAACCAAAGCGGGCTTCATCATCCAAAATGCTGCAGCTTGTGTGCTGGCCAAGACGAATAGCGACGAAATGAATGAAAGTGTTGAATTGAATCATAGCCAAGCCAACCAAACCATTATATAGTTCGAAAACTGTATCGAGCGTCAGCATTTTTGACATATATAAACATGACAAACATTCGAGCTTGTTCTTGAAAAAGACGATGGTTAAGCAAATTTCTGGCTGAGAATTTTTTGTTTTCGGTCTGGTAGAAGAAAAAAATGTTTTACCAAGAAAGTGAAAACCTTGCACAAAACAAAACGAAATGTCTGCTGTCGATCGGTCAGTTTGAAAGTTCTGTGTTTTATTGTTTTCTCTCTCTGCCATTTACGTAATGCAAAGAATAGTGAGTGTGAAAAAGGTCATTCACAGTTTACATAATTAATAAGAAATGTGCTATGGACACAAATGTGCGGAGTTTTTTTCCTCTTTAATTTATTTATATCGTTAACAATAACATTTATTTTATTCTACACTTTTTTCATTTTTTTTAGATAAACAGAATATAGAATATCACAGTTGAAATTGAGTTATTATCTGTTTGGCTTTCACCGACGAGTGAAGAGTACTTCTTTTTTGTGAGCGTCACATTGACATGATCGCCCATACTCGGCGAGCAATTGTTCAAGATAAATGTTTCGTTCTTCTGGAATGTCTATAATTCGACCCAAGCAATCAGCATTGATTGGTGCTTCAGTTGGAGCAGGTGTCGTCGAAATTGGTACATTCACAAATTTTCTATCTGTTCCCGTTGATTCTGAATAGCCAATATCTGAGTAGTAAAAGCACTTTGGATTTGAAACGATAGGCTTTTTACGACTGACAATCCCCAACTCCTCATCGCTTTCGTCGACATCGAATTCACTTTCTTCGGAATATTTTGGCTTTTTGAACTCAATCACTTTTGCATTCACATCAAATAGCCGCTCTTCTGGGATATTTGGGGTGATGACTTTTCTCCGCGGTTGATCGATGGGTCTTTGCCTGAATCCATACGCGAGTTGATCTTCCTTAATTGTTGATCGCTGTGCTGCACGAAGCGCAATTGCTATGCTAACCGGGTCCGCTTCTATTTTTGGCCTGAAAAGGTTTTTTTCAAATTGATTACAAATTGGTTTGAATGCAAATTACTAAATTTAAATGCATGAAGAATCATTCATTACTTTGCCGGTTTCCTAAAATAAACATCTCCCGAACCGTCTGGAGCCTGAACAAGATCATGACAATTACATTTACAGGATGCGCGAAAAAGTTTCTCTTCATCAAATTCCTGAACAGAAAAATAATAATAGAAAGTTCGAAAGGAAGTTGAATCAACAAATCATTACATATCAAGCTAAAAGTCTGATTTCACTGGAAAAAAGGCAAAAGCTCTAGAATGGAGACAAGCAGGAAAGGGGATATGTTTAAAGACAAAGACAACAAAGCAAAAAAGAAAACATACACAGAGAATAAACATAGTTTGGGTAATTTCGTTTTACAGTTCACAATTTTATTTGTACAATTTTTATGTGTTCATTTAAAAAAACAAAATGATATCAAATTCACAGCATATGTGGAATATTTCATTCCCAACATGTTTTCCTCTCGATGTTATCTTGATTGGCTTTTTGTCGGAGAGAGGTCGAAATGAAATGAAATGAAAGAATCAAGAAAACATTGAGATCGATGAAATATTCTTAAGTTCGTCGGATCAGTCGTAGTGTAATTCAATCCTAGCTAAGGTAGACAATTTCATTTGGATTACACTTTGCGCATCCACAATTCAGTTTGCACTTCCACTTCAAAATTTTATTTACAAAGAAACTAGGGATGTTAGCGCACACAGTGCATTTAGGGATTCCAAAAGCCGATTTGCAAGGAAGTTTTGTAACGATAGGTGATGGTAGAGCTGGTGCGATAGGGAATATAGGTCCAGGAAGGGGTAGAGGTGCTGCTGGAATTGGCAAAGGAGCTGCTGGGATTGGCAATGGTGTTTTGTATACCTGTGGAGCGGGCACAACAGCCTGGCTAGTGCACGAACATGGACTGGGTACTGCTGGTGGAGATGTGGCAACACTCGAACTACATCCGCATTTGTTGAATAAAAATGCCTTTTGACAAAAGATTGGAATGAATAAAGAAGTGACAGAGTTAGTTTAAAATCTGCATTGGATTCAGACTCGAATACGGAATTTGAAGATTCCATTCGAGGAGATGGTACTTACGTGTGTCATGCACAATGTGGCTGCGATAATAAAGAAACACAGTGAAGCTCTCATGTTGACTGTTGAATGTTGAATGTGTTAGTGTAGGTCGAATGTAATCCACGCTCATTGAACAATAGATGACTGATTTCATTTCGGCTGCACACCTCATCTATTTATACTCAATTTGTGATGCCCCATCGAAATGCATGTATCGACCAAACTATGATAGCTACACGTATTAAACCATAAACATATTTTACCGGTGAATCGTATGTGAGATAATTGATCACAATGTCGTTTTGTTTCCAGTCAGTATTGTGTCTTGTTACGCATATGACGTCCATTGTTTGTGCGCGTTACTATCTCGATGTTTGGAAAACACTGTCCAACGAATCAAAACATTGCAAGCTATGCAGACGTGTAAATGAACAGCTGCGACTGACTGGTGAAATTTGAATTCTTCGAATCAAAACGTCCAAAGTGCGATTGAATTGGGTTGTTTGACCGAATATGAAATTGTCACAAAAACAAATCGATTTTCAAGCTGATAAACAAGATGGATTTATTTGATCATCACAAGTACAAATTAGATTTGTTAACTGTTTTTAGCACATAGCTAGCATCACAGTCTAAACCCAATCGATGGAATAGTTTTAGCGCCACTGAAGCCACGAACGGGTCAACCTGCTGACAGTCCATATAAATTGTGTAACACGTGAAAGGCAATTTGTTGATGTGTCGCCAAGTTGATACTGAAACAGTTGAGTACAATTAATTTATAGACAGTCATTTCACGTGTGTGTGTGTGTGTTTGTATACGTATGTATTGATTACCTCCAGCCGAAAGGCCATAAACAATGTTGCAGTCTTCCATCGACGCGAATTCATTTTCATTTTCTGTAGTTGTGTTGTTGTTGGAAATGGTGCGAATAAAACAGCGTTTATCAAACTCCTGTTGTGTGTTGTAAGTATATGCTGATTTGAATGGGAACACATATGTTTGCTCAGCCCGTTTCAACCATGGCACTAAGAGTTCAGCCATCTTTGCCGACTGATCCAAATCATTATCTTCGGAGACGCAAATGTAATCGCCGTTCGACAATCGGTATACGGATGTTTTGTGACCATCAATTTGACACAATGGACTTATTTTTTTCAAGATTGTCGTTTGTACAAAATCAAAAATACCTTGACCTTCAACGATGAACAAGTTCTTGAATGACACAATATTTTCCGCACCCGATGAATCCTCATCCATCCACTTCCATGAAAAATTGTTCGGCTCTAATTGGCCGTTTCTATAGGACAAACGGAATTTATTACAGTTTGTGTTGTGGTTTTTTCATCTTTGAACTTACTCTTCATCAAATTCATCATAATTTCCCCAAAAAGCACGCGTATCAGGCCCAACCAATTCACCAAATTCCATCATTTTGCTTGCTTGCACAAATACGCCACAGATAAACTGATGCAACTAGTTAGTTGTATGATTGACAACAACTTCAAAAACCTAACCTCAAAATGGTCTATTCACAATGAAATTGCATTTATTGTTTGACAATGCTTTTAGTACAAGTTGGCTTAATGTCAAATACGTCAAATGTGGATACATATTGTGTGTGGATTTTAGCTTTCGATATGTCAAAATAAAAACCAACAATAAAATCTATTCGATCGCGATAAATGAAGAATTTGCTGGTTACTCCCTACAAAAATGTATTTAATCAACACCGAGCAGAGGGAGCACTTGAAACTACTGCGGGAAAACAGTCCAGATGGTATTTGTAATTTTTTTACACTAATGAATTTAATTGATTTCTTTTTCCGAACATTTTTTACAGTTGCCATTGAAATATGTAAACTAACTTTGGATTATATGAATAATGGTTTGAACAATTCGAATCGATTCCAGGCCATTGCAAGTAATGGATTTGATTGAGTATAAGAAATTTGGTGTTGAATAAGAAACTAATCAATATCCTTTGTATGTAGCCAAAATAAATACATCAACATCGGCCCTTCAAGATGCGATAAATGCTTTAATTATGCTTCAGTTGAATTCTATCAAAACCAAAGTAAATGACAATATATCATTCAAATTTATTAATGATATTAATAACTGTTTCGGTTTCGCTTCTATTTTTGCAGGTATCTGAAGAGGATTTTGCACTAATCGCACAGACCGGATTTTCAAAGGAGCACATTTCGATTCTTTGGCAATTCATTACAAGCAAACGCGATTTCGTGTTGAATGTTTTGGATCAAATCAGTTTAGTGGAATATCGATTTCGTGATTTGGAGTGGCGTCTTGAAGGCAGGATATCATCTCGAAGTTTGATGCATCAATCCATTCCATTCATTACCATCAAATTTCATTTGGATTCAGAAAAAGTGAACGAAAACAAAAGTCCATTGGACATGATTGGAGAGTCAGCATCAGAACCACTGACTGGTGATTCGCAACAGCATAGTCGCAAGAAGGTAGTCATTTTCCAGACTGATCCGAATAATTTACTTTACATTATAAACGTCTTGGAGAAAACATTACAAGAAGCTCGTACTCATCGTGTACGAAATATTGTTAAGAACCTATGAATAAGTCAATAAAAAACCAAACTAAACCACTACGTACACATACAATATGAATTTATTCACGATTTTCTCTCTCGTATCGCATTTTCTCAGCTTCTTTTTGATTTGATTGGAATATTTAATAAATCATCGGTATTTGGAGTGACCGCCGTTTTGGACAATGGGCCAGGTTTTGGTGTGGTGCGAACGAGTGGTGTTTTTCGCCGTATCATTGGTGATGGAGTGTGTGATTTATGTGAAAGTGGCGTTGATCCTGGGCTGGGTGTCATTACCGTGTAGTCTTTCACTCCAATGCTCGATGAAGCTAGTCGCTTAGCGGCGGGTGAAATTGAGGCCAAGCGATCTATTGTCGATCGAATGTGCGGAGAGGTTATATTTTTACGAGCTGCTTCAAGTGCTTTGGCTTTCTGGTTGCGCATTCGTTCACCAGCTTTTTCTGCGAGCGCTAAAGCAATTGATTCACGCTTCGACGTTTCTGCAATGTGAAATGATGGCCCGGCCGATGGTCGGATTGGTGTGTCGGAACCATCCAATCGGAATGGTGTTCCTTCTAATTCGCCCCATGTCATCAATGGGCTCTCAGCCACACCGGGTGCTGGTGATGGTGTTGACACAAAACTAAAGCCGCGTACATTTCTCTCTGTCGACGAAGACAATGTATTTCCATCTATTCCAACGCGACCGTTCAATATGTTCGGCTACAAATGCAAATTAAAATCATTTTTATGAAAGAGTATTTGTATACTAGAAAATATTGAAATAAATTGCAATCATACCTGGGACTTAGCCAATTCATTTATCGTATCCTTATTTTGCCGATCATTGAATGGATTCGAGGTGAGTCGAGTATTACTATATTCAATTTCCTGTTTTTTATTGGCTCGTTCCAATTGTTCGGCTTTGGTTAGCTCTACACCATCCGGAATATACATGATACTGTTTTTATTCGTGTATTTCCATGTATCGATCTGCGAACAAGCGATTTAAATTAGTTTCACTATTAACATGTTCGAAAATGAAATTCACTTACTTTCTTCGGGCCACAAATAGCCTTGAACTGATCTTCAATATTCGGTAAATGTAGACTTTGAGCAATGGCCAAAGCTGTTTGTTGCTCTGCTTCGTATAAAACGGAAAATTTTTGACGCAATTTTTTATCAGCTGTCTCAATCAATTCCTGAAAACTACAATTATCCTCGCTCGTGTGAGCCGCAAGAAACGAGTCCAGTGTATGACCATCCGAAGGTGCTCTTTTGCTTTTCCTTGATGTGTTGGAAAGTGTGTCGGAGTTTCGTTCTTGAAACAATGTTGAGCCGGGTGTTGAAAATGCTGATGATTGATTCCATGCGCCTTCTCTTTGTGGCGTTTCAAATGTTGCTGGACTCTCGGCTGTTTTTGAATGCATTTAAAATTAGTCAATCAACAACCGATTGAGAGAGCAAACGGTAGAATTTGAGATTACTTACATCCGAGTGGCTCGTTTGGCCTATGACCGCTGTATTTTGCATAGATTTCTCGTAGTTTTATCATATCATTTCTCTCCATCGCATCCAAGTACTCATTCTGCGCCTTAAGCTTCTCCAAATCAGGGAAAAAATCTTTCTGTATTATTTTACCGAGTTCCTATTTTGGAGCAAAAACCAAACGATATTATTCAACAATAAACAAAACGATATGATGTGAAAGGATTTTGGAGAATGGGAATACTTTACCTCAACGTATTGTTCCTCAGTCAATATTTTCATTTGCCCTTTCTTTGTTCTTGGTAATTTTGGCATTTTGAATTCAACAATAGCGTTATCCATCTTCTTGATGGCTTCTAAGGCCCGTTCACCTGGTTTATCCGTCATTTTTTCACAAATTTATAAACGTTTTGAGGTCATATTGTATATTTATTCCGTATTATCGTACTGTTTCAATGACAGCTCAATTGTCAAATGCCCAAATGTCAAACTGTCAAATCATACACTTTTGAATAGATGATTGTTGGTTATTGTCTAATGCGGAAAATGAATAAGTCTCATTTGATATTGAAGCAAGTATAATAAAAGTGACAAAATCTAACAAAAATAAATACATAGTTGAATGAATTCCAAATCCTCATTTGAAAAGATCCGAATTTCCTTAGTCTCTTAATTTTTTGTTGTTAAAAATTAACGACCAAATAACAACATTTTCATTCTAGATTTCTTAAATTACATTACATATATTTATTTCAGAGTCCAGCAAATGATCATTCATATTTTAGAAATGTTTTTTAAATTAAATCCAGCGAACTAAGTCAAATTTTGACCAGCAGATGACGTTATGGTATGTACAGATTGTACATACATGACTTATTTTGAATATACACTACCGTGCAAAAGTTTGGAACCACTAGGTATTTTTCATACAAATTGACCATTTTTGGTGGACTCATTAACATATTTCGGAAACACCTGCACTCTTGATATTTTGTGCATAGTTTCTACAACATTTCAATAGTAAATCACAGAGGTTTCATCAAAAAATATTCATGAATTTCAAAAATATAGCAATTTGAATTTGTACTGTGTGAAAAATGATCAAATTTGTATGAAGATTAAAACAGATCAAATTCAAATTGATATATTTTTTAAATACGTGAATATTTTTTGATGAAACCTCTGTGATTTACTGTTGAAACGTTGTAGAAACTATGTACAAAATATCAAGAGTGCAGGTGTTTCCGAAATATGTTAATGAGTCCACCAAAAATGGTCAATTTGTATGAAAAATACCTAGTGGTTCCAAACTTTTGCACGGTAGTGTATATCATGCAGAAATTCTTTGTGTTATAGTAATTCAGTAAAAAATGAAAAATCTCATTCGTTAAATTGAAAATGACCCTAAAATAATGAAATTTAAAATTAAAATGAGTTCATCACAATACTTCAGTAAAACAGACTGTTTGAGTCATTTTATTTGTAGTAGCAAACGCTCACCACGATACGCAGAAAGGTCATAAATAGTTAGATTGATGTTTAAAAAGTCTTCAAAGTGTTTGGTTTTACATTCACGTCAACGGAAATCCTGTTTATATCGAATCAGCTGTTTGTTATTCGACGTAATGAATATTAAAAATGATAAATGAATTTCCAACAATGTGACGATGGAAAAATATTTTTAATCGATAGTACACTATGTGAATCGTCTCTAAATTTTGCTTTCCTTCCGTTATTTTATTTTCTGAGATCATCCGTTTGGAACGGAATTCGTCTGCGAGAATCTATCGTTCGTCACTTACATAATCAAATTTATGATTTCGCTGACAACTTATTTCGACACATCAAAAAATATATCATTTCGTTTTTTTTTGCTTTCATTTTCAGCCGAATAGTAACGGTCGCTGTGTCGCTGGTGTGCATTTCAGATGAAAAATGCACACACAGGGCATAATATGCCCGCATATGTTGCATATATTTAACAAACCATAAAGTGAGCGTGCGATGACTGCATTTTATGCGTTGCATGTAACAATTTATAATACTCATTGCAATTGATACATTTGTCATCATACAATCATTACGCATATCTGCATGACATTTCCGAAATTGTGAGCGTTTTGCACTTGATTCTCTAAATCTGCATCGTTTGCATGAAGAGTATGAGAAACTATTTTTGGAAAGTCATTCAAAAATAGAATTTCTTTAAAGCCATTTTGGCCTCTGGAGCAAATAGATGCTTTCAATGCATAATTCCAATTAATCAGTTCACACCTTGTATTTACTAAATTTTTACTGCATTTTCAGAATTGAACTCTTGACGCAAACGCAATGGATTTGTGTACAAAATCATATCGAAAGCTCCGTTTGTTTAGCGGCATGCCCATGAATAAACGAATGAAAACATAAAATTCTCAGTGGTCGGAGGCAGCGAACCATCTGGTTCGTATGCATTTCGATATATTATTCAAATGCCGCTGTCATCGTCGACGTGTACTTGCTGTTCACGAAACTGCTTTCGGAATATTGGTTCATAATTTTTCTTGAGGAACTTGCTTGCGTTTCAGAAATTTATGATCTACCATCGTTTTTCATGGTGGTATTTGTTTATACAACAAGACAATCTCATCTCGCCACGAATGCTCAAAGTGAAAATGTAAACAAATCGAGAGAGACAGAGAGAGAAAGAATGAAAAAAAGGGCACTTCCATGTCGTTAAAATAGCAATCAAAGTGATTATAAATTACGTGTGCTAGCGTGTCTATAAAATCTAAACAAAACGTTTATTTGCGTTTTTTGTTTCAATAGATTGTTATTTCCAGATGACTAGGCCTCATGAACTTTTGGGCAAGAAAGTCACTTTTGCCATGTGGTGGTGGTACCAGAGCATATTACATTTCATCGTAAACAATTTATTAGGTGCGATGCGACACATCGTAAAAAGAACGAGTACTCTCGGTCGCGCGATGCCAGCCAGTTCAATATGAGCCGGTTTTTTTTAAGTAGCGGTTTCGAGCAGGGAAAATTTAAACGATCAATTCCATACGAGGAATATCGATGCAACAAGAAGAAAAAGAGAAATGGAAAATGCATTATTATACGAAAATGTAATGAATTAGCTTGAGCCAAAGTGGAAATCATATTTTTGAAACTCAATCTATCCAAATAGGATGAAAACAGACGGTGCAGAAGTCAACAAAAAGGACAGAACAAACATCCGTCGACATTGTACGATGCAGGATTTCATTCTCACTTTCGATGCAAACGAAACAATAAATCTTCTGGCCAGTGGAAACAAAATGATTTTCACTTTTTTCCTTTTCTCATAGAGGATTACTTCCTCCCGATAAATTCGATCGAACCGATTTTTTATGTTTCCGTTTGTCATTGATATTTCGTTGCATGCATTAAAATGCATCGAATCAACAAACCTTCTTTCGCTCGCACTATTCGCAATTTTCTTGGTCTTTACAATCAAATTTCTGCATCGGCGATGAAATGCCATCATGTACCTAAGGAAAAAAATCAATTGTGTCACACATCGACACAGTTTATCGTAACTTGCTGATTTAATCATTTGTTGTTTGTTTTCTTCGACAATAATTTGCTTCGCTAGCTGTTGTTTGCCACCAAATCCATTTCAGAATGCATCGCATTTAATGTTTCGAACACATGTTGTCACTTTTCGTGTTCTTTTGGCATAACCAATCGATTCTACTCATGTGCGACTTGACACTGTGGTTACAGAACGTTAAACTAAAAAGATTTTTTTTTAACAATTTCTTTTTGCTCTGTCTTTATTTCGTTGTTTATTTCATGCACTGTCAATTTGTTTGGAATTTCTTTTTTGATCGTTTGAAGGTCATTAGTCATTTTTTTGGCCAGCAATATATCTAAACACTTGTAATTTGAGTCTTCTTTTCTAACTGTTTTATTTTTTCCCTTCAATAGCTTTCACTTGAGTTTCTAGGCGATGTGAGGTCTGGTAAAATTTGTAGGCATATCCATATCTCAAGTGGGGATTGAGACTGCATGACCAGGCAGCAGATTGCAAAGAGTGTCGCTTTCCACATAATTCTGAACAAACGACCACACAAAAGACTCTGAGTTGAACAAAGTTGTGTAGACTTTTTTTTTATAAATTGACCATTGCGCAATGAGAAATACTTTTCCGGCCTTTTTAAATCGATAAATCTTTGAGTTTGTTTATACAACATGGAAAATACCCGAAAGGTTGTACTCAAAGCTGAGACTCAACGAACGATCTCAAGTTAGTTTCTATGACAATTGTATACTCTACGTAAATATTTATCAGTACATGCAATCTGGAATCGCTCAAGTAGTTTATGTTTCGAGGGTGTTCGCAACGAACAAACAGAAAAGAAAAAAATCCATCGATTTTGTGCAGATACATGGAAATTATTTCGAAAAACATGTTTCAATGATTTTTATTTTACTTAATGATTTCTTCGACAGTAATTTTCTTCTTATCCAATAAAATATAGTATGGCTAGAGTTATCGGAGTATAAAAAGAGACTTGGTAATGTTAACAATGCAATTTTGATTTTATCGTGGTACTAGGTCTATATAACCGTTCGGTCGAACGATTTGATGATGATGGTGGGAAGTCGGCGAATAAAAACTTTGATATGGATCGTATGGACTGGCGTTTGGTGAACGAGTATGATGAACGCTTTTGTATTTATCATATGGATTCCCATAACTAGAAATGTGATGATGTTGGCCGTGATGATGATAAAAAGGCCCAAAATTACTCGAATCACCTAAATACGGTTGAGTAATCGAATGCAAGGCTCCATTCGTTAGGCCATTATGTGATGGACTCTGAATCATTCGCTCAGGTGACGTTGCTGCCTGTGCCGTCATACCACAGTTCATATTGACTGCATCCAATCGGGATTGATTGCAGTTCGCTTGCGAAATCATTTCTCCGTCTTGAATCATTAAAAATTGAAAATACATTATGAAATTTTTCTTAGTTCTATGTGATAAGAGAATTGTTTCATACTTTTTCCAGTGACTGTTGTTTGCGTTGAATGTCGATTCTGTCGAAGTTTTTCCTGCCCACTCTGATCATGAGTTTGCATACTATTGAGCATTTCAGTCGACCTATTTGGATAAGAACAAAAAACATTATCAATTCATGGAAACGCTAAATGGGCATAGCTACAAACACCATAACAACGAATTCAACATATATATTTACGGATTTTTGCAAGAACGCAAATAGAATCGAAGATAGGAATTTGGAGAAATTTCGAGGGAAAAAGGAACAGCAATGAAACGCGGTTCAGTTATAATATCGTATTTCCCCGAGTACTTTTCGATTGAATAAACAGATTCTGTGAATGGTTTACAATTGTCTATTTTGGGTTTCGGTTGTAGTTGTAATGTAAACAAGAAAAATTTCGGATGTCTGAGTGGGAATGTCTGCTCAATATGATTTGATATGCTGTTTATCTGGTGTAATGGAAGCAATTCGAAAACGGATTTGTTTATTTTCAAATGTTCAATCGATTCGGCGAGCGTAATTACACAATAAATGGAAAATGAAGTTGAAAAACATGACCGGTCGAAAGTTTGCAAACCATACAAAAAACCATTAAGGATGAAGAAAATTTCGTGCAAACAAATGAAGTGGCATGCTTACTCATCGTTCGCGTCATTTTCCCGAAAACCTTTGGCAAATGGATTGCTGACGATCTTCAATTGTGTCACCTGCAAGATAGAATACATTTTTTTTGGTGAATATAAATTAAGAAAAGCCTTCAAAATGTTAGTTGTCATAATAGAAATATCGAGATTGTGTAGAAATGTGAACCACATTTTGGTGTGACTTGAAACGATTCGATTCGTTTGATATTTTCATTTTTAATTTTCTCGTTAATTGCCAGCGCACAATTTGATGCTAGACCAAGGAATGAAAACAATAAATCAAGCGCGTGTGAGTTATTTCATTGAGATCTTTGAAGCTATTGCTCAAGCTTGCTGTTTTTTTATATGTTAAACGGGCATAAATCTTATAAAATGGCTTTCTTACACAAACAGTTCAATATGCCAAATGGATTTCTAGTGAGCAAGACGTGGCAGCAATAACAGTGCTGCCACCGTCAATCTAAAAATTCACCTCGGTGGAAATAAAAATTATAAATGATTCCAAAGGGACCATAAAATGGTTTGACGAATGCGAGAAGAAGCGCGCGCGCACACACTGAGAAAATGAAAAATCGGAAATATTTTGTGAAAGTCGTATGGCAGGTCAAATCAGTTCGAAAGCAAAACCGACATGGTATTTTTTTAAATCCTCTTTCGAATGAATACAAACAAAGTGTCAGTAAGAAAAATTAAAATGAAGAGAAAATGACACTTTTTCTGGCTGTTTGGCGTCGAGATAATAAATTTATTTTCTTTCATTCCAATTTCGTCTCTGTCGCATTCTTGTGCAGCAGTAGAAGTATTAAACCGGGACCCCTTCTTTGTTTTGATTTGTGTTTTTTTTATTTCTTTCTCTCTTTCTTTCGTGTAGAATATGCAATTATGAAGTATTCCTCTATAATCTCGAGTATTCTGCTTGTTTTTGGTTTGCTGATGAGCGAATGTCATAACTTTTGTGTAGAATGAACTTCACTTGTACGCGTACAGACTGAAAAAAAAAATCCAACAACAAGCTAATTCGAATCTGCCGCTGTTTTGCCTGCTTCTTGTGTTTGCTGTTCACATTGATGAACTTATGGTTGCACGGCCTTTGCAATATCTGTCATATATCCGGAACGACAAAATTCAAAATACCTCATCAAATTAATTTATTGTTTCAATAAATTTCAGAATTACATGAAAAATGCTGGTTTTAATTTTTGGTGATTTTCATTTAATTTATCTTCTGTGCGTTTTCAACACGAATGCGGCCACAAAACCGCCGAAACTGAGACTGAAACTGAATCCGAATCCCGAAGCAACCGAAAATCGTATCTAGTTAATCACAAACAAAAGGCTAATGCACAAACTTAATTTACAGCGATGCCAAACGTTAAGAAGACCTTGCTCATTAAGTTAAATTAAAAATAATCCGAAACTTACTCTTTGATTCTGATAGGCTGTTACGGCCGTAAACGATGTCTCTGTGAATATAAAACGACGATAATGACTCTGTAAACATTCCTGCTCCACATTATACGCTGAATTACTGGTCTTTGGTGGCAAATATACGATATGGAAACGCGGCTGATATCGGTGCATTGAATTTAAAATTATCTATGGAACAAGGAAAAAATGTATAAACTCTATTGTATCCACGCTCCGAAGCAAAGAAAATAATGGCTATTTATAGTAACGGGATATTTTGATTAACCAAAAATAAAGAATGTTATTCTATATTTAGCCATGTTCGGTTTAATGAGAATGTTTGTACACTATAACTTCACCAAACCAAAACAATAATATATTTACATGGCCATTTTCGTCCAGTTGATTGTTAGTTAGCTTGAGTTTATCAAATGATACGATTTGCTTCATCCAAGTACTTCCTGGAGCCGGCGAATCGGGATGCACGTGAATTCGTGGTGGAGAAATGGGATCGCTCTGGTTGGCATGGGGTAATCGAAGACGTACGATTGAGTTTTAATAATTTAATAATTTAATAATCATAAATACAACAAAGTCAGTAAGAAAAATTAAAATGAAGAGAAAATGACACTTTTTCTGGCTGCTTGGCGTCTGAATTCGCCTATGACGTGCTTTATCCGTCAGCGTCAAATAATTGTGAAATATTCAAACTTACTTTTCCGGCAACTACCCAACTTGAGCTGGAACAAAAATGTACGTCATTGAATCTAAGATATACGAATCAAATTGAATTTAGTCGAAACAAACCTATGAAATGAGTAGCGATAACGTTTATCATCAACGGGTACAAAATCCATCATCATAATGTACATTGCTTGTGGATCCAAATCGCTGATGCGAACCTGAAACGTTGGAAACATGCGTCGTCCGGTTTTTGTAACAATCATTTCGGTGCCTTGCTCATGAAATTTGTCCCATAGCGGTTTGGTTTCCAATACAACGTTCGCATGCATGAGTGCCGGGTGATGGGAGTTTGGAGGCTCTTTACTTTGTTCCATTTCTTTGCCATTGCTTTGCTCATGATTCATATCCGATTTCGAGTCATAGGTGCTAATTGCTGACTTTTGAAAGTCGTTCGACATATTCTGATCGATATGCTCCAATGGCTTATACGACCGATCTTTTCCGGCCGTCTGAATGCATGCTACATGGGAAAAAAATCAAACCAAACACAAACGAAAATATGTTTTAATGACGGATAAAACAAAGTTATGTCTCACATATTTTTATCGCGTAAATGTGGCAGAAAAAATACAACGGAAAAGAAAAGAAAAGTTCCTTTGACATAATTATACTCTAAAAATATATGGCATAACCATAAAGAAATGACATGAAAACATGTGTCGAGATTTCACCAAAGGTGCAAAAATCGGTATAAGTGCTTCGGAATCAAAATTCGGTTTTCCATTCATGATTTTTTTTTAATTTAGGATCGAATTTCATGGAACGTGTGCCATCGAAATGATATATAATTCAACGCACTTCAGTTTATAATAATCGAGAATGAATATGCCTTTCTTGCAGGCCTGAAAATATGTAAAATTCATCAAAGTGAAAGAAAAAAAACCTGAAAGAAAATCATCTTTTTCGGTACATGTGGAAAAAAAAATCCTGAAAATATGTTCAACATATCACTTCACTGATCATAAAAGCAAATAAACAAACATGTGTGGTAACAATACTACGCCTCTTCTCTGTCGTTAGACGCATTTTTCTCTCGTGTAAAGCATTTTGCTTGTGAAAGACGCGTTTTTTTTTTCTTTTGCTTCTCTTTTTCATTTTGAGCAATAAATTTTCTTAAAATTATCGATCGACGTGTACCGATTCGTTTGCAGCAAAACAACTTTGCCGTTAGTGAGATATTCAAATATTGATATCGCAAGGCTATTTTGTATATTTGACGAAGTGAAACAGTGTCGAAGCACTCAAAATTCCATTAAAATCTTATTAGCTCCTTTTTTACTGAAGCGTTTATAGTGCTGCTAAGTGATTTCACAGCTTCAAGGCTCGTTTTTGTGAAAATCGTTGAAAATTCGAAGGAACAAAAAAAAAATTGTTCGCCACACATTTGATAGCAGCGCCTGACACGCAACATGATAATAATAAATGCGTTTTCGAAAAATGCCTAAACTGTCATCAGCGATCGATTTGTTTGAACGAAACAAATAACCACAACGGTACAAATCTGTCTAGCATATTCCCCATTCCACAATTAATCAATCATTTGCATTTCCAGGCAAAAGCATCAGCAAAACAAAACGATTGATTTTGAAACATCAAACACACAACAATTCAACACTAAATTTCAAATCTAAAAATGATACATTTATTCAATAAAAATGGAACCCATTTTCACTGCATTTGAGATGGTGGGCGAATTTATTGGAAGCGTCAGTTACTCGGATGAAAAATCAAAACCACATCTTTCAAATGCCAATTTTTCAACTTCACTTATATCCCAATTATTTTCAATCGAAATCTAAATGGCACAGAACTAATTGGTGATTATTTTAATTTAGGAGCGATACGAGAAATTGCATTCTGAGTGTTTGTGATGTGGCGTACACGCGCCACACTGACGCTATCGAGTTCGAGATTTATGACCGTTTTCTATGCATCGGTTCATTTTGGAAATGCTCATTAGTCTCATACAAGTGTTGTTGAGAATGGGTGGCGTCGACTGGAAAATAGATGATCAAACATTTTATAGTGGTGTCGCATTCAACTCAACGCAATTGCCTTACTCAAATCAAAAGCAAAAAATTTAGATTTTTGCAAAAAAAAATACATGATTTACATCAAACAAGCAGATTTTCAGCTAGGCAAAATTGTTCAGTTAGATTTGGATCGCTGGATAGAAGTGTTTCGACAAATTAAAATGTTTCACTCCTTCGTCCGAACATCAATCTTGACAAAATGCAATGCCGACTGCAGTCGACACATTTGCACGAAACCCTAGCAATAAATCATTTTTTATATAATTTTTGTATGATTTGTCGTCGCATGGTAATTTCAAAGGACTCAACGTTCCGTCGCTCGATCGCACAATGGCAAAACAAACGAGTCGTCGTGTAAATACAAATTGAGCTATAATTTTATTCAGACGTTTTATTTGCATTTTTTCCCAGCAATTTTAATGGATTGCTTTTTCGACTTTTTCATTTTGCTTTCCGAAATCGTTGGTTCTGTGTTTGCAAGCAGACGGCACTTCGAAATTGCTTGCAAAAGTGTCCCAAAGACGAATGGGATTATCTGTAAAATGCGATTGATGTTATGTATAGAACTTTCTTTCTCTCACAATTGCATTTACTGTGAGAGAGGTTCGGTATCGATGCATGGCATACAGAGTATAGTTGAGGACGTATGCAGGCAAATACAAACTGTTTTAAATAGCATTTTCTGTCGATAATTTAGCTTCGCATTGACCTCACTTGTGTCGCAATGCAATCAATTGTAGTCAACAAGACATCGGTATGCATTCAACGCGACGCATTTTTTGAAACGACGCGACATTGGCGATGTAAAAAGGTTTTTCATCAGATAAAAAAGACGAACACACTTCGCAAAATTTGTTCATACATTGACTGTTGTAGGTAAACCTGAGTCATGGGAATCGTTGTAATTATCTACATGGATTAGCAGGGAAGTTTTGAAGAAATTAGCTAAAATTAGTTTTACGTTGAAGAAGTGATTGCATTTTCAAACAAAAATCATCTGTAATGGGCATGAACATCAAACGGATTTCTTTTCAGTTTTTCTTCTCTTACTCTCGAAATAATTTGACTAATTTCAAATAGGTGAGTAAGCTATGAATGGTGTTCGGTTTTTGTTTTCGGAAGCTGCGCTTGACACACTTAATGCAAACTGACATCAGTCTTCGAAGAAAAGTGACAACAAAACCAGCACAATTAGATGACTTCAAATACAAATAGTTGCTTAGTCGAAAATATTATTAGTGTCTTTTGTAATATTTGGACTGGCAAACGACTTATTATTTGGCTTGTAAACAGAGGAAACGATATGTTGAATTAAGAGTCGAACAAGTTGCAGATAACCAGTTTGGTAATTTGCAAATTTGAATTTGAAAAATTCGAGGAATAGGAGACGTATTGAAGAATCGATATTTTCATGTTTTCCACGGATTTTTAGTACCACCTTCCAAAAATTAGTTAAACGTTGCATCTCTATATATTTTTTGTTTAGGTATAAATTTTGTTTCTGAGCCGCTCATACATGGGAAATTTAGCCAATATTCCCAGATTGAGCAAAATTACCTTCAATTTGTTTCATAGGTGATAGGCCGTCTGTATAAGGGACACTCCAGTAGTTCGAAGCGTACGAATCACTCGCCGAATTGAGGATGGCATTGCTTGTATCAACGTGATTGGGCTGTACAATGCCGCCGGCAATGTTCGTTCGATAATAGTCCATTTCACTCTTACAATGAATTCAAGTATGTACACGTCGATTATGTGTGTATGTACTTTTTTTGTTGTTTTCAACAGTTTTTAGTATCAAAGTTGAATATCTTTTCAATCAAATTCACCGTTATCCCGGCGATCATTTCATCATTTAATTAAGCATTGACATAATTCCACATAAAACTTTTATCACCATTCGCTTTTTCCGCTTGCAATTAACAAAGTCAAAACACCGAAAATGCGAACGAAAACACAATCACAATTTAGTGCGAATTGATTTACAAATAAACAATGACACACACACACACACAAAAAGAAGTGAAAAAAACACAAATACAAAATCGCCGAGTGTGTAAATCGTGCTCGTTTTGTTTTCACTCAGTTTTGCTTGTTGGACTTAAAAGTATTGTACAATCAACAGTGAACATTTCAAAAATATTGCAAACAAATCAAATGGCACATTTGAATTTTGTGTACGAATCGAATTTAACCTAATTACAACTTTGAGCTTCAAGCTCGATCAACACCTTTTTGTCTAGCACTTTCACTGGCAATCCGTCTGCCGAAACATGAGCGATTTCTTAGCCAAAAGGAGAAAAAAGAAGAAAAATGAACGATGAATATATACTTGAAATATGCACATCAGCATCCCAAGACGATTTGATGATAATTAAACTTTCAACTCGTCGCACAAAGTTTTTTTCCTGAAGTGAGCTCGACCACGACTCGAGAAAGAGACAACCGAAGATTGAAAGAAAAAACGATGAAAATGCCCGATACAGCGTCGATCGTCGATTGTGTGTGGGTGAAACCCGAGCTGATGAGACTTGCCCAAATGAAAACTCACACTTACACGTGTGCTTGAGAGAGCGCGCGAGCACAGCCAAATGAAAACTGTTGTGTATAAGCAGACTTCTCAAAAATGTGTTTCCCATAAAACCGTTCTTTAGTACTAAAAAAATCGTTCATTACACAACAATGCAGTATGCGCAAGAGTAAGAAAAGAGACAAACTCGTCAGGATCTATACTATGTTCCGCCAATGCGAGTACACATTGCTTTTTGTTCATGCCATGGGCACATGAATTAGCAAAAAAAAGTAACGATCGTAAAGCCAATCGCTAAATGGACTAAAATATTCAGGGTTGAAGTTATAATTCTCAACATTGCTTGCTGCAAATGAATATTTTTATTAATAAATGTGGAAAGTGCGATTGGCTCTAACCCTTGATGAACATTTTAATATGAATTGAACTTAAATTAAAATAAAGTTTCTTTTCCTTTTGTATTATATGAAATAGAATTATAGAAGCGAGTAGTCGATCGGTTTTCCGACGCTAAATCAACAGTGTAGTCGTTAAGTGCGTATGTATTGTACGTGAGCTTCTGTCGATCTTTGGAGGAGGAGCCTAATTGACTGGTAAAAATAAACAATCGCATGCATACAGCATCAATACGTTGTTTCGATGAAATTGTAGCCAATGAAATTTCATGCCTCAAAGTGAAACTCAAATGAAATGAATACAACTAGACTGTGGTAAAATGCACAACTTTCGGGGGTTTATTGTACTGAAATAGGCTTTTCTAGGAAGGGAATTCAATAACTTTGTTTTGAGAATTACGGAAAAAAACCGATATAGATTGATTGATATATGAATTTAGCGATTATCACTGTATGGAAATGAATTTTATTTCGATTGATGAATATGTTATTTTTATGCACGGCAGTGATTTCAATTATAAATCCTATTTGAAACGTTTGTGTTATGCGACCAAAACGTGACTTTTCCAATCCCAGTACAGATATGATATTATATATTGATATGTGCTATTTGAAGTAGGTGATATGAAAAAGATACCAATGTAGGAAAAAAATTCGTATAAGATTACATAGCATCTCTAGACGGGAAATCAAATTTTATTCAATTGAACACTTTCTAAACTAAGTTTATTTATTTTAATCAACAGTACCGAAATCAATGAGATATCTAATAATGAGCACAATAGGGATGTTATAAACGAAATCAAAATGGAATTATGAGTTAATGACTCAAAATTCAAAATTTGGAAATAAAGCCTTCCATTTTTAGTTCGGAAAATAACAGCCGGTTTCAACAGCATTCTTCTGAAGACTTCAAACAAATCATAATTAGCAGTACATAAACAAATATTTCGTAGGATAAGTTTCAATCATGTTTTAATACATTTTTTTCTCTCGATATAACAATACCAATCAGAGATTAACTTTTAACGTGATGTGGATTAAAATTGTGTCAGGACATTGTATGACAGAACCAATTATTAGAATATATTGAATATTTTAATAATAAAATTCAAGCTCCTGTTTCAAGGCAAAGAAACAATGCAAACATTAGAGTTATAGCTGATAATACTAATGGCCCTGCACCATTAGTTTCCGGTGTGGTTGGTTTGGAGGTTGGTGCGGCTGTTGGTTTTCCTGTTGATTGGTTTGGTAAAAGTGTTGTGGGGGAATTTCCTTTGGCGTGAACATGAACACAATTGTATGAGATGTTCTGTTTATCTGTTTTTGAAGTGGTACAACTTAAATTGTATGTTTGTGTTTTGCCTACAGATTCACAGTTCAGTATAGTAATGTTTTGATTCCGCTGAATACAGTCCACGTCGATGGTGTTGTTCATTTTACATTTCACATTGGCTCCATCGACTGGAGTCGAGGTACAGTTCACATGCCATTCATCCTTTGAGTTGACATTAGGAGTAGGGACAGAAGCAGGAGCAGGAGCTGCAAATTGACAAACAAGAAAATTTGAATGTTCTCTTCTTCAAATCAAGTTTACATTTTTTGTATATATCTTCAACTCTGAAAAGGTACACTCCATCGATACAAAAGATCATTCTTTGATTTTTTTCACTATTTCATCGTGATTTCAAGATCTACGTTAGAGCTGCCATTGAACCGAACCGTTCATGTTCGTTCGAGTCTTGACTGAACATCAACCGACTTTTTCATGGATTGAACAATCGAACTGAACACCCAAACGAACATGAACAGGAATTGTCTATTTTGAACATCTTAAACCGAACATGAACAAACTCGAACATAGTTCGTCCATGTTCGAAACCGATATAAATTTGAACTTGAACACCTTCAGTGGAATTGAACATGAACTCGAACGAACGTAAACATATATTTTTTTAACTTCGAACAACTTGGACCGAACTTGAACTGTTCTAGTTCGGTCCGTGAGCAGCTCTAATCTACGTTAGTTTTTTGTTCTTTTGATCATTTATCAGAAATAAATGAAATGATAGGAATTGAAATCAATTGAAACAAACTTACATTCACTGTATACACCGTTTACGCAGAGAGCGATTCCCACTATAAATATTCCAATAATTTGTTTCATAATTTTGTTAGTTTTTTTAATTACACTTTTTGAAACAAATATTTTTTGCGTTGACGTTTTTCACAACTATAGAAGAGATTTATGTGCACCAATCGCTTTATGGCCGTAGATGAACTGAAATTCTTCTGCGAATTGGTGCTTTTATAGCAAATTATGACGAGGAAATGAGTCACACATATGTACGCTTAAAAAGTTATCAATTAAATTTTCTCGCAAAATTGAATTTCTCTTGCGAATCAAAAGCATAAACTGATAACATGTTGTGAATAACAAACTTCTTTGCGCTGATTCATTTCTTTTGCTGAAACAACAAGAGTCACTGAATTTCATTGTGTCTACATTAGAGTGGTCCAAAAAAAAAGTTGTCCACAAAAAAAAAGTGCCGACCGGATTCGAAAAATATACCTCAAAAAAATAGGTTTTGTCTAAAAAAATCATATAGTCACCATATAAAATACCCTGCCAGTTTTTATATCAAAATTTTCATGACAGCGATTTCGGAAGCCAATTCATTTCGCAACATTTCGACCTAAATCATTTTTCCAGCCAATTTTCGGCAAAAACCAATGATGGGGTTTTCTTTGGCTCGTCAATATCTACAACTTTTACCAAGATATCAGCCCTTGAAGAGGCATTCTGGGCCAGTTACAGTGTAAAATGACCGAAAAAATGCCAATTTTTCGGCATTTTTGCATTTTTCGGCATTTTTGCATTTTTCGGCATTTTTGCATTTTTTGCATTTTTCGCTCTACTGGCCACCCAGGCGGTGGACTTTTGTTCAGTTTTCGACTTGTGTCGTGTAGCTAGAACCTCTACAAAAATTTTGGTACTTCTCAGATTGCGATTTGGATGAAATTCGGTGTCAATTGATTCACATATCTATTGACTAGATCGAGAGGAGAGTATGTGAAAAAATTCTAATATATTTTGAAAGAGGAGAGTATGATTTCTGTTGATTCTATCTGCGTTAAAAGGAAGTATGTTGGCATCCCGTCTAGCCTCCGCGGTTTTTCACGGTTTCCGCGAAACTGATAAAAGATAACAACATGGTGTCTTTGGCAAAGTTGTAGCACTTGAGGTTTTCTTTAACATTGCTGAAGACATCTATCTCTTATCTCTTATCAGTTGCGCGCAAATCGCGCACATAAAAAAGCAAATTTTATATAGAACTTTTTTTTCTTATCATTTTTCACGCTTTTCGCGGAACTGATAAGAGATAAGAGATAACTGACTTCAGCAGTGTTATAGAAGACCTCGAGTGCTACAACTTTGCCGAAGACACCAAGTTGTTATCTATTATCAGTTCCGCGGAAACCGTGGAAAACCGCGAGAACCCGCCAAAAATGAACATACTCGCCTTTAACCATTTTTGAGTCGAAAGAAACTTACTCTTCTCTTTCACAACAAAGTCAGATAAACTTACTCTCCTCTCGATCTAGTCAATAGATATAAAAGACAAATTTCAGGTCAAAATGAGCAAATCACAAACATGAGCTTCGGTTTGACAGGTAAAAGCAAATGATTTCTACCTTTTGTGCCTTTGAACATCTAGTATGGTCCTTTACGAAAATTTTGAGTACTTACATGACCAAATCGAGTGATGTTTTCACATATTTCTGGCCTCATATTCGATTTCAACTCCCAAAAAATCGACTTTTGACCAAAAAATCCTTAAGTATAGGCTTTTTAGGGATGGTGTCTTGGTGCAATGTTATTTTTTCTCGAAAATATGGGGAGTCTATTCAGACAAAAACTCTCAAAATTGACTTTTTAAGGTACTCCCCGAACAAAAGTTACGTTTTTCATGCATTTTTCTATGAAATTATCAATTTTTGTTCGGGAGGTACCCCAAAAATCATTTCTAAGAGCTTCTGTGTAAATAGATTCCCAATATTTCTCGAAAATAATAATTTTTTACTAAGAAACTCATCCGAAAAGTGTATTTTTGGGGTACCTCCCGAACAAAAATTGATAATTTCATAGAAAAATGCATGAAAAACGTAACTTTTGTTCGGGAGGTACCTTAAAAAGTCAATTTTGAGAGTTTTTGTCTGAGTAGACTCCCCATATTTTCGAGAAAAAATAACATTGCACCAAGAAACCATCCCTAAAAAGCCTATACTTAAGGATTTTTTGATCAAAAGTCGATTTTTTGGGAGTTGAAATCGAATATGAGGCCAGAAATATGTGAAAACATCACTCGATTTGGTCATATAAGTACTCAAAATTTTCGTAAAGGACCATACTAGATGTTCAAAGGCACAAAAGGTAGAAATCATTTGCTTTCACCTGTCAAACCGAAGCTCATGTTTGTGATTTGCTCATTTTGACCTGAAATTTGTCTTTTATATGTGAATCAATTGACACCGAATTTCATCCAAATCGCAATCTGAGAAGTACCAAAATTTTTGTAGAGGTTCTAGCTACACGACACAAGTCGAAAACCGAACAAAAGTCCACCGCCTGGGTGGCCAGTAGAGCGAAAAATGCAAAAAATGCCGAAAAATTGGCATTTTTTCGGTCATTTTACACTGTAACTGGCCCAGAATGCCTTTTCAAGGGCTGATGTCTTGGTAAAAGTTGTAGATATTGACGAGCCAAACAAAACCCCATCATTGGTTTTTGCCGAAAATTGGCTGGAAAAATGATTTAGGTCGAAATGTTGCGATATGAATTGGCTTCCGAAATCGCTGTCATGAAAATTTTGATATAAAAACTGGCAGGGCATTTTATATGGTGACTATATGATTTTTCTAGACAAAACCTATTTTTTTGAGGTATATTTATCGAATCCGGTCGGCACAACCGGACAACTTTTTTTTTGTGGACAACTTTTTTTTTGGACCAGTCTAGTCTACATCATATTGCAAAGGACATATGCACTTTCTGATAATCTGAGAATTACAGATTATTTTATCGAATATTTGTTTGGTGACGGTAGTAATAAAGCCAGAAATAACTGCATGAAACATATCATGTTGCGCATTTTGGGCTTATTGAATCCATATTAAAAAGATATTTCCAAGTATGACAATATGATGAAATAAACAACGGGGGGCTTCATTAAAACTGACTCACGAGTCCTACCACAGCGTACAGCGTATTCATAGTAAATCTAAGAATCAACAGTCAGTCAGTCGAATTTTTTTGCATCAATAGAAAAGCCAAATGCGGGAAATGCGAACCAAAAAAAAGAAACAACATTCAATAATGTGAATTGCGCCGACAATTTACATACAGTCGGATAAAAAACAAGACCGCAGAAAGAAATGAAATTCGATGAACAATCATTTGTATGGTTGTGCCAGCCCTTATTAGGAATAATTGTCGACATTTATCGTATGAAGCATTTTAAGTACAACAACAATGAACTATTCTCAAACTTATCAACAACCAATACGTTAATTGTATTGAATCTCAGTAGAGCAGACATTCTGCTAGGGAAGAACTCAATATTATCCAAATGATCTCATCTTCTCAAAACTTTTCATAAGCCTCCATTCATTAAACAGTTTACGCAATGCCATCTATTAGCCAATTTGGAAATTATTGACGCGATACCTTGACTCCTCCATATTTGACACATCACTGAATTTGACAGATGAATCGGCGTTCTGTAGAAAATTGTAAACAAACGCCGATTCATGTGAATCTGTTCAGAAATTTATTTGAAAGAAAAAATATATATCAGAAATCAATAAAAATGACACCACAGCCGCAGTCAGAATTAGTAGAGGTAAGACATTTTATTCAATATCATCAAAATAAATATTGAGTGAAACTCCATTTCAGCAAGTACAAGCTCACATGATAATCATCATTCATCCAGGATCGTTGAATTTGCGAATTGGAAGAGCGTCAGATGTAAATCCACATCGAATATTAAATGCAATCGCCCGGCGTCGAAAGACCAATGGCAAAATCTATCGAGATACAGTTCTACCAGGCACTGTTATAAAGGTTTGCATGACGTTAGAATTTCCATAACATTCATTTTATAACTGCATTCTCATTGCAGAGTAAAGAACTGGTTCAAGAGCTCGAAGAATGTCGACTACAAATCAGTCACACGTTACAATCAAATTTACAATCGGATGGTCGTCGACGGTATGCTACGCCACCGCAGCAGATTTCTGCTTTCAACAGGCGTTCAACGCCAGAAATTCTTGACAATACAGTGAAGCCATATTATAAACCAACTGATTTGAATGTTGTAATTGGCGACGATGTCCTCAAATTGAATCCAAATGGAGATTTTAATTTACATTTCCCGATCAGACGCGGTGATTTCAATTTGCATGGCGGAGTTGGGGGAAGTATTGTAAGGATATGAAGATATTATTTTAATTCGTTTTAAATACAAATCGTATCTAGCTGAATCGAGTTGAGAAGATAATCAAGATTTTGTCAATAAATTGATTTTTTTTCTAGACTGCTGTGATCGCCGACTTACAAGAGATTTGGGAATATGTCTTAAAAACGCACCTCAAAATTCCACTTGGGTTGGTCACAATCGAATTTGTGCAAAATCTTGACCTCTTTTTGATTAAAAATGTTCATTAATTTCAGGGATTTGCACTTGTATAAGGCAGTTTTAATAGTTCCGGATATTTACAATCGCGGCCATTTGAGAGAATTGATGAACCTCCTTCTATTGAAAATGGGTTTCGGCAGTTGTTTTTTAGTTCAAGTAAGAAAATATTACATTTTTTCGTACTTTCCATTCTATGTATGTATAAGTTATAAAACTGTATCATCATTCATGACACTATTCATAATTTGTTTAAATTTAAATGATCATTTTGTCATTCAAAGGATCACGTTGCTGCTACATTCGGAGCCGGCCTTGGTTATGCATGCGTAGTTGATGTTGGTGATCAAAAAACATCAGTTTCGTGCGTTGAAGACGGAATATCACATCCAAGTACAAGAGTAAGTGAATGTCCACTGATTCGATGAAAGCAGGACTTTAAACTGCAATCATGATTCCATATTTGTATCAATAGGTTCGACTTGAGTACGGTGGCGCTGATGTTACTCAAGCATTTCAATGGCTGTTGAAAAAATGTGCATTTCCGTACAAAGAGTACGACGAACGTAATCCACTTGATGCAATGCTCTTAAGGCAATTGAAAGAAGATTTTTGCCACGTCAATTTGGACATTTGTGGGCCGACTGAGAAAGAGTTTGTGATTGATCATAACAATAAAATAATGTCCAAATACACGCTTCAAGTTGGTGATGAATGCATTGTCGCGCCACTCAGTTTATTCCACACTGAACTACTCAATATAACTGGACCAGGGAAATTGGCAAAAGTTCAAAAACCGGCACGAAATCAGCCAGACGCAGAAGATTGCTTCGATGCAGAATATCTTCGCGAAACTGGCGTAAGTATATGAATCATAAAACCATAAAGTATTTATTTTCACATGTGATATTCCAACAGCGAAAGGGGGCACGAGAGCAATTGGACCAAAACCAATCTGAAATGGGTGGATTGAATACAGATAATGTTGATGAAGACATTGTGGTTGACACGCTTGAAGTTGAGCAACGCGATACGAAAGACAAAGAATTTGTTCTCCCTGGGGGACAAATAATTGGCTTGGATCAAGCCATTTTGCAGAGCATTGAACGGTGTCGTAAGTGATAAACTCCATTGGAATCAACGTAGCTTTCACTCAAATCTTTATCCTTCTCCCGCTTAGCAAACGATGAACTAAGAAGAAAAATGTACGGATGTATTTTGGTTGTGGGTGGCGGCATGAAATTCGTTGGAATCGGAAAATGGCTCCACAATCGCGTGGGCTTGCAGATACCATATTTGTATCGATCTGAGCAACTTGATATTGTGACTAGTCCAAAAGACATGGATTCAGATATCACATCGTGGAAAGGCGGAGCAGTAATGTCATGTTTGGTAAGACGCTAAAATTCAGTAATGAAATCATTTTGTTTAAAACTATAAAGGCCTTTTCATTTGGAATAGGAAAGTGCTTCCGAGCTATGGATTGCAAATACCGAATGGTACAAAGGTGGAGTACGCATTCTAAGAGAAAAAGCACCATTCATGTGGTAGAGCTTAGATTATTGTTTAGTTTGTGGATTAATTGAAATATATATTGTTGGTATGCTAAAGTGCGTTTTTCAATCACTACTTAGCCAACTTCCCGTATGAGTTATTATGACATCGGATTGAGTTTATTTCAAAATAAAACACATATTCAGTACAGATATCAAAATAACAGATAATAAAATTCAAGTCAATTTTGTCACACAATTTTACTTAAATTGTAAATTAAATGGAAATGAAATGTTATCTAATCAACAGCTCAGTAAGAGAAAACGCCAATTATATTATCTCTTATCGATTTTTATTTCATTATTGCTGAAAAGCAGACGTGTGCAAGGTCAAAAATTCTAGAGGGGGGTAAAATGATTTTGCCAGATGAGGGTCTGAAAATTTATAAATGGGTGTCAAAAAAAATGGAGACCTACAAAAAAAGGTCCTGACTTTTGAAAATCGATTCTATCTAGTGTAATTTTCCAAATCGCTCGATGGGGATGAAATCCTAGTGGGGGGTAAAACCGGAAACCCCCCCTTGCACACGTCTGCTGAAAAGGCAGTTTCACACATTTTGGAAGGAAAATGAAGAAAATAACAGCAAAAATCATTGGTGAATGTGGTCAAATAATCATTGTTTTTTTTTTAAATGATATTCTCTCGAATTGAGCAACAATGAGCATATAAAAATGATAAAGTTATACTTCACTAAATCACTTGCCACACCCTATTGCTTCCTTTTCGACTGAAAGAAGAAAACAATAAAAACAGCATCCGAAGAACTCAACTTGCTTACAACAGAATTTATCATAATTAGAAACAATGTTTTTTTTGTTAATTAAGATTGTTTTTAATAAAATTTGGTTCAAACTTTGGAAATTTCAACACTGTGCTTATAAGTGCATGAAGTTTGAAAAAAAAAACGTATGATACACTGGATTTAGGATTTTAAGAAGAGACTTTGAGGTTGACTAAAACTGCAATGAGCATCATAGTAACCGTTGGTGCCCACAATTGGGTGCCCACATTCGGCGCAGTGGGAATACTTGTGCTGTTTCCAAGTTCATTGTTACAACCTTCACCATCGCAAATACTACAATGGCTGGGGTTGCTGCATTTCGCTGTATCCGATAAGCAACCTCGTTCGATGGTTTTACCTTTGGAGCATAAAAAAGATGTTCAAAAAAATCGTAATGATAAATATAACGCATTTCAGCCTACCTGTTTTGCGAATGTAGCATTTATCTTCCTTTCTGTATAATTGACATGGCTGTGCATTACCAACCGGAGCTTGGAAGCAGGTCGATTTCAAGTCACCACTGCAACTGTGGCAAGTCAATCTGCTTCGTGGAAATGGCTTAAAGAACAATTCCATTTACTACTAACTTAAGCCATAGGATATAGTGAAAAAGACACATACCTCATTGTTGCAGCCTTTATTATTATTCACGTTTTCACAAACGTTGCATTGTTGATCGGGTGACGTGTCATTCAAGCATCGTTTTTGAATTCCTTCATCGAGATCTTTGAAACAACCGCGATAGGTGATTTCATCTGAAAAACAAACAGATGAATCCATGCACAATGCACAATTGCAGATACCGACCAACGATTTACTATCGATAATCGTTACGTTACTTACTGACAATACGACTGTAGCAGCTATCGGCTAGATTGGAGCACTTTTGTGGTTCAATGGTGCCTGGATTTATGGCGCAATTTGGATCGGAGTTCGAATCACAAGATACACATTCTCCGACCGATACATCTGTAGTTGAAAATATTTGAAAAAAAAATCAAACAATCATAAATAAGAATGTATTGTCTTTTTAAATTCAAACAAAATGAAGCAGTTAATATTGCAGTTAATTTTTCAATTTTGCATAATTATACAAAGTAACTTCTCAGATTTCGGACGATCATTCTTAAAATGCATTTTGTTTACTAATGACATTTTTATTGGCTCACGTTTTTCCTGATTGCTGTAATTGACAATATGAAACCCTTAAATGCCAAATTGTGTACGTTATTTTGTCGCGTGATTTCATTAAAAGCTGTATAAACATTTATTATTCATGCGATGGCCATTGGACAAATTTGCAATCGATTTTTTTTCGTAAATCGAAGGTAAAAAAATCATGATGAATGCAACGGTTTTCTATGACAAAGAAAATCGAGCGGTAACACTTCAAATCAATATAGATGAATAATTGTGAGATACGAAGTGACAGTAATTGTGAGTCATCTACTCAAGATACAGAGTTTCGCTGCGAAGTAGTACACATAGTACGTTTCACGGCAGTTACGTAACGAAAGGAGAAAACATGAAACATCTTGAAAGACATTGTGAAATACAATCGTATACGAATGCACGCACTATTTTCTGTGTCACAATACACATTTCAAGTTCTTATATTTGAAATACACCACTCAATTTTCATTTCATCGCACGAAAGAATATGTTTGCTTCATTCTAATCTTTGAAATACCATAATTTAATTGTAATTAAGTCAAATGATATGGAAAAAACTTTACCGGCATTCGAATATCCAACACAAAGCATCACGCACACAGCGAACACAACTGAGAGTTTATTCAACATTATACGTCTATTTTTATTTTTTTCACTTCTATTCGAATGTGATGCGTAGAATAGTTTCGGATTATGAAAATTGAAATTAATTAGGTGCGCGACAACGAATTTGCAGCTACACAATGAGTTGGTCTTGTCCAGGTGATGAGAAAATACAAACTGAGCCGATAAACTATTATGTTGCACAATTCATACTATTCTATCAATTGCCAACACATTTAAAGCTCTGATAAAGCAAAGTGAATCAGACGAGTGTATGGCCGTGACTATTGTATACTGTATCTGCGTCACACTGAGCTCGCCGCCACACCAAACCGAATAAATAAAACCGTTGTGTGTGCAGTGTGCACAATAGACACGATGACACATCCACACTGTTGTTGATGTCTGTGTTTTATTTGTTTTTGTTTCGCTATAGAGAGAGAAAAGAGGGAACTTGCTTTTTATCAGTAGGTAGGTATCTTATCACCAATGTTTGATCAGCCAATATTCTACATTGCGATCTTTTGTGTTTACATGAAAAGTTGGTATTTTTTTCCATTTCAACAATAAATATTGGATCTATCATTTGGTTCGGCTATTTATTTTAAAATAAATCACCACTTTGTATTGTGGTGTTAACTTAGCTTAAAATCGTCGGAAATCAAACATTTTTTTACGTGACAAATATTGTCGCTGTGTACTAACGCAGGCGAAGCGTTATGAATTACTAATCCTGACTCGTCTTTTAGGTGTTACGATGATTTTCTTCTTATTTCACTTCAATTCTGATGACACATTTTTGTGGTATCAATCAATGCCTGAATTGAATGCAATCCATTCGATTTGGTGGAATGGTCGATTGCGTTAGCGTGATTTTTGATATTTGAATTCACTTTGATTCACTTGAACAGATTTAATATAGACTTGAAAAAAGAATCCATTTCTGTTTTCTAAATCCAAGCCTTATCCATTTTCAATGGTTTTTCTATTTGCCCAGAAAATGGCTTGCGCTTTTCAATGTTATGAATACGATGCTAATTAGCGTTGCTATAGCAATTTAAATCATTGTAGACATTTGGTATGAATCTTATATTTCATATGTGGATTGTGCAACTTGAAGATGAGTGGAAACAATTTAGTTGAATGGAAAAATTTCATTAAATTGATACTGGTGCAACACGAGATCGTTGAAATGTATGTGAAAAAAAATGATCCGACTATGACAGTTGCAAAGTAAGCAGATTCTATGTTTTGACTTCAGTCACAGAGCATTTTCGCTTAAGTTACTCATAATGGGAATTTTAACGCAATTCGCACATTCCTTATATGCACATATAAATGTATATGCGAAGGCGGAAAAATAAGACGAAGTAGTCGTACGATTAAGGTCAAAATGCATTGCAGTTATTATGAGCGTACAGTACAATCGACCAGAATTTATTAAACTTCGCACCAAACGTATTATTATTAAAAAAAATTTATTCGATCGCATTGCCTTGGTTTTCGATAAAACCATATTTTATGGACATTGTTGAATGTGAATGTGAATGCTTTGCTGCTTTTCATTTTTTGAATATCGAAATAGATTGTTCGGCGGACAACAAATTGCTGGCTATCAGCATATCAGTTTTTTTTGCCATAAATCGGTTTTTATCGCAAATTCAAGTTATTTTTATCAAGTTTTAACTGTGGAACGATTTTTTGTGTAAAGAAAATATCAAAAAATTACACAATGGAAAATACATTTTATTGAAACAGGTTGTGTACTTATATCAATCTATCGTAATAAACTAACTCATTTAGAAATAAACTATATAGTGTTTATTCACAACTGTAATAGTCTCATCTTGATTGGCTATCGATCGATGAATTCTCTTCGGCATGTGTCTTTTCATGTGAAGTAGCCGCAGTTTTTGTGTCAAAACTCTCTGAGCAGAATTTACATTTGACTTTTTTATGAATTTTTTGGTGAATCTGTAACGAATTGAAAGATCATTCGATGTAAACATTCATAGTGTGACAATTTGACTTAAAAATGATACTACCGTCAATGTGCTTCTTCGATTGAAACATTTATCGCAAGATGAGCATTTGTAGGGCCTTGCACCGGAGTGGATGGTTGTATGTCGTTTCAGTTGCTCCTTGCTTATAAATTTTTTCTTACAAACCTAAAAATATGAAGAAAAAAATGATAAAGATAAGGCGCTCAAGCAGAAACCGCCTCTAGTAGAATATATAAATCACTCCACCAGGCATCATACCGAATGAGTATGAAACTGTTGAAAAATCGTTCTTATCTTTACTGAGAAATTGGTAATTTGATGCAACACATATACTGGAGCTATCAGTATCATTCTTCATAAACGTTCTTTGCTCATTCTCGCCAATGATATTACTACTAAACATTATCTAGTAAACAAACGCTTGAATTTGTTCTTTTTCTTTAACCAAAAAGAAGCTTACCGTGCATTCAAAGTCCTTATTTCCCAAATGGCTTCGCTTGTGCATTATTAGATTGCTTGAGTACCGAAACTCCCTGCCACATAATTCACATGCATGTGGTTTTTCCCCAGTATGCGTCTTTTCGTAATAGAAAAAAATGTATCATTTTCTTTATATAATTTCAAAGAACTTTGATTTCTCACCAGAAGATGTTTTTTGTATCCGCTGGAAAACAAATAAAATACCACATTTAAATTTAGACCTAGATGTTTCACACACTTTAATACACAATTTCATTTGAAACCTAGAAAAATGTGATTTCATACCTTTTTTGGGTCATTCCTTTGCCACAAATCTCACATTTAAAGGGCTATAAAATAGATTTTTTTCACATAGTTTAAGACATTTCAATGAAAAAAAGTGATGTCTACCCTATTACTGAACACAAGTGTATATATCTTGCAAATGTCTAACCTTTTCTCCAGTATGTGTCAACATGTGCGACCGTAGCGAAGCTGATTGTCGATAGGTCTTTCCACACACATCACACTGATTTGGGTTGGATTCCATGTGCGTGACCAAATGACCTATCAAATATTCCAATCATCAACCAATTTTGTTATAACGTTAATTTTGATAACATTACAAAAAAGAATATATGTATTACTATTTCATTTTCTTCTAAAGTACCATAACGAAACTGTAAATAATTTCAAAAAAAAAAAATGTAAAAAGATTTACCGTCATAGGCATTTCTGGTTTTGAAACCCTCCCCACACTCACTACACGGGATAAATATTTTGAAATACATATTATGAGTTATTTTTTTTTATATATTATAAACATGATAAATTCTAACCTGCACAAGAATGGTGTGTCTTCGGAATGTAATTGCATATGATATTTGTACGAGCTGAAGTTACTCAAAGTTTTTCCGCACTCGTGACAGGTTAACGATCGATTTTCACCATCTTTAGTTCGTGGACGGCTTCGATGTTTCTTTATGGACATTTTGGGAATTTCATCAAGCGACTCTTCTGCTAGAATATACTCTTCGTCACGGGTCACCTCCATTTCACTCGATTCTTCAACCATCTCAACATGTTCATCATCACTCTCAGTTGGTTCTTCATTGGCCAAAATAACTGTAACATATTCAACCTCGTTGTCGTGATCTTCGATGTCATTGCCCGGTATGACGTCAACTATATCATTCTCGTCTCTAGGCTCAGCCAATTCCGCCTGTACTGATATCAACAATTCATCCTTCGGGAAATTGAGCGTTTTGTTGATCGTTGTCAGTATTCTTGATTTTACTTGTGGCATCTTTTGTCTCAAGAGTATGTTGGATTTGAAGGCCATTTCACGGAATTTATAGATTTTACATGTTTGCAGCAAACAATCTGAACAGCAAACACTCGGCAGGTGGTCATTTTCGTGATACTACCAAATGAAAAAATAATTATTCTTGAAATTTTGTGCTGGTTGGAGTTCAAATTACCTCGATCGATGTGCACTCGCTCAGCAGGTCCGATATTCTAACGGTTTTATTGCAAACTTTACCGAAATCTTGAATTGAATGAAATTCATCGGCGGCGGTCAAACAAATACGGCATATTTTGGTGAACTCATTCACTACGTCGGGTAAATCAGTTCCAGTCATTTTTACAATTGATTGATTGTTTGGCTGATCTTTAGTTGGGACAATACACTATTTATCCATTAAAACAGACAAGCAGAAGAACCTGATTACAAACAAATATTCACAATTTTATCAAAATGATGCCAATTCAAAATCGTTTACTAGAAGATTCACAATATGTCTTGACATTTGTATGTGATACGGAATATGGCCACTATTTCAAAGGTGACAGTTGAAGACAGTTCTAAAAATGTTGGAATGTGGTTGTTTTTGTTCAGTTCATAATATTTTTAACAATAAACAGTAATAAAATGGAATACAAAAACAAAATCGAACCCAGAAAAATTGAGACATCCAAGAATAACGTTAGAACCAGATAAAAAAATATCATCATTTAGCACGAAAAATCCATTTAGTACCAGATTCACGCGAAATTTAGTTTGAAGTGTCAAAAATGTGCTTTTGTTATTGTTAGTTCATTCGAAGGACAGAAAAATGCTTCAAGTCATTCAAAAAGTAGTCTTTTGATTTTCCATCGATTCAATTGCCATTTTGACAGGATGACCTGAAGTTTAAGAGACTGGATCCACCAAAAGAACTACTAGGTCTGTTTACTAGTTAATATATTGAAGAAATTTGTTCCAAAATAAGTGTGAGTACAGAATGACAATTATTAGAAAAATTTCCACGAAAATGTAAACTACTATGATTTTTTCAGAAAATACGAGATCAACAATCATACAATGGATTTGCTCGGTTCAATTTTAAATTCGATGGAAAAACCACCAGAAATTGACGAGAAACGGAAAGAACAAATGAAAAGTTTGTGTGGTTTACGTTAACTATCAGGGTCCTGGACTTCAAATTAGTTATATTTCTTTTTTCATTTGCAGAACAAAAAGAACAATTGGAAAAGCAGCAAGCATACGAAAAACGGGAGATGGCCAAATTCCGTACCTATTGTGAAGAGCGCGTAAATCGATTCATGAAAGATAAAAACCGAAAAGCACTTCAATTTCAACCACTGAATCGATTTTATCGGTCGATTGTGTAAGTAAATAATAGCCACGTAAAAAGAACTTAAACAACAAATTAACTTTGAATCGTCAAACAGGCATGATGTCGCACAAATAGCCGGTTTAACGGCCATGAGCTTTGGTGCGGAGGATATCGACCGATACATCGTTGTTTACAAAAAAGAACACGCCCCAACCGAAGACGAAATATGTGCCCGACGAAATGGCGAGGAATGGAACGCGGAAATAGCACAAAAATATGTTCAAAAGGTAAAATTCAAATGATGTTATAAATCTATGTTCTGCGATTGATACATTCTCCATAAATCCAGAGGCTTGAAGCAAAAGAAGCGGAAGAAATACGGCAAATGAAGCCGACCGAAGTTAAACCAAATTCAAACTATAAAGATAAGTACGCACATTTGATTGGACAAGAGGCAGCAGAGAAAGCAGCCAAGAAAACAGAAACAAATAAAAGCTATGGTTTTGGTATGCATTATGGTTAATTTTTCTTTTTCAAAGAATAATCTAGCAGATACATATATTGTTCTATCCCTTATATGACTTTATTTTTTAGTTCCAAGTGAAAATAAACGTGATATGCGCACCATTGAAGCAGTGCAGGCTGATCTACAAGCAAAAAAGAAAATGAAACTCTCCCAGGCATCAACGTCCACAAACGAAACTCAAGATGAATAAGAATTTAAGAAAATCATAAACAAAATAATGATAGTTATCGTAGTTTCCTTTATATACTTACGGCACATGGTTTGTAAATAAATCATAAAAGTATTAAGTTATTAACTATGACACATATTAACGTCGTTAATAGATTATTAAATTAAATATATTACCCATATGTATGTTTCTCTATTCTTTTATTTCTTCGTCCGAGTATGAGATTAGAAGTTCCAAATTCATATCACTTTTTTCTAAACAAAATTGATTGAAGTAGATGCAAAATTGATTTCAAAAACGTTGCTCTTGTCAAACGTTATGGCAACACTGATTATGACAGATGTAAGGTAATGACAGTTCTTGCATCGCTGCCAGCAAATTTCATACTGCACGTGTATACATGAGCATATTTATTTGCGGTGATACAATTGAAAATCTGAAAAAATGGGAAAAAAATCCAAAGGAGGCAACTTGGGAAGAGCATTAATTCGCGATCGATTTGGTCAAGGCCATCGTCGTACGGTTGACAACAATTCTATGGTAATAAAATTTTCTCCTGTTCAATTCCTTTGTTTATCAGCAGGTCACGAGAGGTGTTAGTCTAACAGAGAGTTTTTCCTATTGAAATAGTTACATACAACTGAGATCCAGGATGGATACGATTGGGGTCGTTTGAATCTGCAGTCCGTTACAGAGGAATCATCATTCCAGGAATTTTTACGTACCGCTGAACTGGCCGGAACGGAATTTCAGGCAGAAAAATTAAATATTCAATTTGTAAATCCAAAAAGCAACGTCGGAATATTATCGAAAACAGAACGTGAGGCAGCTGAAAAGAAACATACTGATAAAAAAGGTTTATTGAAAATTCCACGCCGACCAACATGGACGCCCGAAACGACGGCCGACGATTTACACACACAAGAGAATTTAAGCTTTTTAGAGTGGCGTCGTGGTTTGGCTATGCTGCAAGAGGAAGAAGGCATTTTAATGACGCCGTACGAGAAAAATTTAGAATTCTGGCGCCAATTGTGGCGAGTGGTTGAACGAAGTGATGTCATCGTTCAGATTGTTGATGCTCGAAATCCGTTGCTGTTCCGTAGCGAAGATCTCGAAAAGTACGTGAAAGAAGTTAGTCAAGATAAAATGAACATGATTCTTATAAACAAAGCTGACTTTTTGACGGATGAACAACGTGTCACATGGGCCAATTACTTTGACAATGAAAATATGAAGGTAGCATTCTATTCAGCAACACTTGTTACTGAAGAAAATAATAAATCACTGGAAGACATAACGGAAGAAACTGACAACAAATCCGAAGACAACAGTGAAGAAGAGGACGAGGGAAGTGATGGAAAAGAAGCTAGTTCAGATGAAAAACAAATTTCCGTTGATAGCATAAAGAAAGCCACCGATGAAATTGCAAAATCAGTGCATAGAGCCGAAGAACAATTGGAGATAATTGAGAAAAAATTGGGCGTCCATCATTTAAATGATCCGAAAATATTGTCACGCAGTGAATTAATTGAATTATTCAGAAATGTTCACAAGGGACCAAAAGTTACGGATGATATTTCAACTATTGGGTTAGTCGGCTATCCAAACGTAGGAAAAAGTAGTACGATTAATTCGCTGATGATTGAGAAGAAAGTGTCGGTTTCGGCAACGCCAGGCAAAACAAAACACTTCCAAACACTATATCTGGATACTGATATTTTATTATGCGATTGTCCTGGTTTGGTGATGCCAAGCTTTGTTCTGACAAAAGCCGAAATGATTTTGAATGGAATCTTGCCGATCGACCAAATGCGAGATCATGTTCCAGCTGTAAACATTCTTTGCTCGCAGATTCCACGCCATACACTTGAAGATAAATACGGAATCATAATAGCAAAACCGCAGGAAGGAGAAGACTCAAACAGACCACCATATTCGGAAGAATTACTACTCGCTTATGGATGTAAGTTGGACTACATATACGTTCATGTTGATGATTACTGAATTGACTTAGCGTACAAAAGAGTACTTGTGTGGAAAGAGAACGTTTCTAAATCATATCAATTCCACTTTACAATAGATAACCGTGGTTTTATGACAGCAAGAGGACAACCTGATCAGTCGCGATCGGCTCGTTACGTACTCAAAGACTATGTGAATGGTAGATTGTTGTACTGTCATGCTCCTCCTGGGTACAAACAAAAGGATTTCCATAAGTATGCACCACGAATTCGTTTGGAGAAATCTGAAGACCAATTAACGAGCCAACAACAACGAGCAATGCGCGTAAGTATTAAAATTTGCACTCAATTTCTTCGCATTTCTCACTAAATCTGTATATTTGAGAATATTACAAATCATTTTGATTTGCAGATTGATCGTTCAAAAACAACGAAAGATATCGACAAAAATTTCTTTGAACCTGCTGCCCGCATCGCATACATAAAAGGCAAGACGAATTTGGCTCACATTCGTGGATTAGCAAAGGAAAATGAAACCGCATCAACTGGCAGTACTTCGGTTGGTGGATCAATGCAAAGTTTGAACAGTGTTCACTTGGTAGAGAAGCCATGGCGGCACCAGAAAAAAGAGAAGCGAGAAAAACTGCGGAAAAAATTCGCCCATTTGGATCAGCATTAAATAAATGTTTAATTTGAAATTATTATAAGAATTTTTATGTTATTATTTTCAATAAAATGGTTCCATTGAAATTCATTGAATAAAATATTCTGTTTTCGATAGATTTGTCAATTTTGTTTTGTGTGTTTTATTCAGTAAAATAGGACACAATGTAATAGCGACCTTTGACTACTTGCTTCGAATTCGTGTAATAGCTCATCGATATCATTATCCAAGTCATCGGTTGCGGTTAACTGAAAAACAAATCAATAGCGATCAGACATTTTTGAATGAATAAAGCTATGGATAAATCCCAAAGCAAACCCACCATTGCGACCAAGTCACAGATCAAAAATGCTCCCATTGTTGCTTCCTCATGATTATCCTGAATATCAATATTGATTATGTGCACTGGTCTATTGTCTGCTCCTCCCTTAGACTCCATATACTCAACGACCTGAATGAATGAATCGAAGACGTAGATAATAGATATATTTTAATTATTTCAATTTATTAACACTTTTCAACACTATTCACCTGATCATAGACCCTCTCCTCAGCGGTAATTATCAAATCAAATTGTTCGGTGCAATGTTGAAATTTCTCTGGGCATTTTTTTATTCTGCGATTCCTATCCAACATATGTAAAAGTCCATTTTGTGTATAACTAAAATAAAATGAAAATCGTTAGGCTTGCAAATTAATTCGGAAAGTATGAACAGAAGCCGGAATCTCACTATTGTTTGTCTTTGTTGGCGAGGTCATTATAAATTTCGTCATAAGTGTAGGCACCAAATTCATAGACATTTGGTTTGTCTAGTGCAGTTCCAGGCAATTTAACCTTTTCGCCCGTGCCAAAAGAGCGCACTTTGTAGCCTTTCTTGGCTAAAAAACCATGCGCCTGAAAAAATAATTGAAATTAGTTTTTCAAAAAAATATGCCACCAAAAAATTCTATTCAACCTCCATAGAACGGTTCATGTTTGACGAACAGATGACAGCAATCGATAAATCACTGACGAAACTCATTTTGGAACAATTTATTTTGAAGACTTTAAATCAAATCAGTCAAATTATATATTCAGCATTAGTTCCCTGACCACTAATCACACATAAATTGAGAAAACTGTAGCGAGATCGAAAAATGAAAGCAAATCGATGGTTTTGTGGTAATGGGATTTATTAAATATTGAATTGATGCTGTCATGCATACATGTCTTATTTGACATTACTAAAAAAAATATGTGAAATGTACTAAATTTGGCGACAACACCAATAGAGAATTTGCCAATACTAAACTCTCCGGTATATTCACACTGACACTTGCGTCAGCTTGACGTTTAGCATACGATTGAAAACTATCTTGGACGAAACTCAAGCTTTCTGCATTAAAATAAGTGGATGTTTTTGCTAATTTTTTTTTCAATGAAAAAAATGATTTGTACAACAAAATAAATTGTTTTTTTTTAAAACTTTTGTTGAATATTTTTTCTTTTCATAATGGCCGCCAGTAAGTGTGCATAGTGATATTATGAATTACAGATTGAACGCCAAATTTTTTATGCATTCATTTACATAAAATATCATCAATCATCATCATTTAATTGCAGACAAACTAGTGGGAGATTACCAATCAGATAGCGATAATGATGATTCAGAACCTAAGCAGCGAACTATAAAAAATATAACAACGGGTGAGTCGAATCATTGAAAACAATCCAGCAATTTATGAAGAAATATCTTGCACTGTAGATTGGACGCAATGCACAGACGCTAGTTCAGGACATCCTTATTATTGGAATATCGTAACAAAAGATGTAACGTGGGAAATGCCGATCGAATACCGACAATTTTTGGATCAGGCTGTTCTACAAAATTCACACTCTCTTAAGAAATGGATTCTTTGCTACACAGACGATAATGCACCATACTATTTTAATGAAATCACTCGTGAAATATCATGGGAAAGACCGGCAGATTTCGCTGAAACAATTCAGAATAATTCAAGGCATCGAAGTACTGGTGAGACAAGCGAGAGTGTAAGTCAACTTCTGAATATGTGTGTAATAAAATTCAAAAGGCCTATGAGGATAAAAAAAGTAGACTGATTGCAAGTAAAACAAAACCTTTAATTGATGGTAAAAATGCTATCGATTGCTGGTTTCCGATGATGGTTTAAAAAGTTTTCAATCTGAGGCCCCGCATACATGTGAAAAGTATGCTGATTAGTTTATGATGATAGTGTTTGCTAGAGTCTCTAATGCTTTATCATTATCGAGATTCGCAAACATCTGAAACCAGACCATTTATATGTTGTGATGTCGATTCTATCCAGTTCTTCATATATGATTTCTTCAATTGAATTTCACAAAGAGAAAAACTCGTTTCATTCCAGTCGAATCGTACGATTAGCAAAGCAAAATTGAATCTGGTGCCTGAATACAACGATAGTGACGATTCGGACGATGAGTGTTTGAAGCCATCGGAAAAACCATTGTTTCCATCATCAAGCAATAGTTACCCAACAAACAGTCAATTAATAAGAAGCATTGAAATTCCGACTGATACGAGCATCCAATCAGAGCCTCAGGCGCTAAACTCACCTAAACGGGAGGATAAAAAAGAGAAGCCTTCATTCGCAAGCATTATAACTGGTGGACGAAGTCCTCAACATGAAACCATAGATATAAAGCTTTATACTGGTCAAGATGGCCTAGAAACAGACGAAACTTCAAATAAAATTGAAAATGATTCCGGTGAAACAGAGATTTTGTCACAAAAAACATTTCAACGAAAGCGAAGGATCGAGTTTAATGTTAGCAGTACACAGGCCAAACGCCCAAACCTGAACGAAGTTACAAATCCAAATACTGAACCAATGAATGAGGTTGCCAATCCAATAGCCTCGCTGAAGAATAAATATAGTAATTTTCAAAAAGGCGGAACGGAATTTCTCGAAAAGCAGCCGTCAAGTGGATCGGATGACACTGAAGTTGAAGGAATCGATGCGGTCGGCAATCAAATCACGGATGAACAACAGCTACTAGAAGCGAAACTGAACTTTCTGTGTCAAGGGAGAGCAGATGTATCACCTGTTCAGATAATACAAATTCAATTGCAAGTGAGTCGATCAATTCAATCGATCAAGTGAGACATTCGATACATAATATTCCCATTCATCAGGCATTGCAAGCTGCTCACGTTGCAGAGGCTCTAAATTCGGATTATTTACTGGTATGGATGAAAAATATTTCAAATGACCTGATTAATCTGGAAAATGATGCGGCACCAAATGGTTGGAAGTGCCAATGGAATCGGTACGTAAACAATCATCGTTTTTCTGTAGTTTCAGGGTTTTTTGCATTGATTTGCAGCCATTCATTCGTCATAAACTCATTTTCAAACATTCCTGAGTGTCATTGCAAAAATGTCTTTGTTCTCGTATCTTATCGATCGATATTCTTTTGAATGATGATGATGATGATAGAATATCGCACAATTTTTCTCAAGTTACTATTTATAAATTCCCTATCGTAAGTAAAATCTTCTTATCATCGTGATATGAAGTTGTTTTTTTTAAAAAGGTGATTCCATCGAAATGACAATAATTGTTTTGTACATGAATAAAGCAGTTTTTATCGTCGAAAAAAAATCAAATCTAACCCTCGATGAGATACGTCTTGTGTTTTTAATGCGTTGGACATTGATTTTGAACATGTATTTGAATTGCACTGATAAGGCGGTCGTTGACGCAATGGGAACTGTTTCCGCTTTGTCTTGTTTTGTTTTTCATGGTACTTTTTCCAGTATTTCGGCGTTGAATGATGACACAACAAAACTTGGATACCGCATTATTCCGGATACTACTAATTAACGTAACTAAATGAATGTAAGACTTTTGCTAATTTTCATCCATAAAATGATTTTAAAACATCTGGCCCAGATGATCTGGGGTAAGGTAATTATGATCAAATTTTGTATCTTTTTTGTTATTGAAACAATGATTGAATAGAACTAATTACACTTTGATTCGTTTAGACCATATGAATGGATCGAGGGAGTGCGATTGTCCTATGTCTCTTTGGATGAAATTGTATGCTTCAGCATTGGATATGCATCAGCATATTTTGCGTCTCTGAATTAATTCTAAGACTTTCCACAAATCAGATCCCTTTTTAACATGATACAAAAATTGAAAGTAACATTTTCAAGGATAGTTTCTGTACGGTTCGTTTGTGTGGTATAATTTTAGGGAAATGGCGCAGTATTGCTACGAAAATACGACAACTGGAGAAATCAAGTGGGAATATCCAGAGGAGGTAGAACTAAAGGATAATGCAGCCCATGACAATACTGTTATAGATGACGATGCAATGGACATATGTACGACGCCACCACCCAATGAGCATGAAGATTTTTCGGCTGCATATTATCAGAGCACAGGTAACATAATCATCTTCAATTCAAATCATTCATTGCAGTTCGATTTTAAATACTTGCATTTTCATTTCAGAACATAATGCTGACTATGTTCCGCCGCCACCAAACCGGACGACCGGTGAAGCGTTGAAAAATGACAATGTAACGGTGATTTTGCACAATTTATTCCATTGCAGCCACTTGAAATTAATTATTGGGGACTTTGTTACAGGAAAAACCGCTGGACGATGAGCTGGCGTCGTTTTACTCGGATATTGCGAAATTGGAGCCCGAACCCGAAACAACGAATGAAGAAAATTCCTGTGATAAATCATCCCCAAATCCAGATCAGCCAGCATCCCCTGAAAACTCTGATGCAGATGAAAAGAAGAAGAAGAAGAAGAAGAAAACGAAAAAATTAGAGCCATGGCGTTCCGGCAACCTTGAAAACTGGATAAATAAATGGCAGAAAGCGCAAAAAGAACTTGATGGATAAAATTGTCTGTGTTTGAATTTTTCATTCAAAAAAGGAAAATAAATGTTTTTTTTTAAACAAGAATCAGACTTTATTTTTTTTAGTTCATTTCCATTATTTTTTGGTCAATAATTCATTGAATTCCAAGATAATTAAACGGACATCATAAATTAATAAAAGGCTTGAACAATACACAACGATAACAGTTGAATTTGTATCCAACCGGTCGCATTTGACAGCTGGCGCTCATAATGCATGCTATTGACATTTCGAATTGTCAGTTTGTTCTAACATTAGAACAATGATAAATATACGATATTCAGTTCACAATTTGAACTGAAAAAAGAGGTCCGCATAAAGAGCTATTGTAATGTGATTGAGTATAGGTTATTAAAATGAATAGACAATAGAGTTCAAGAAGATTTCATCGCACTCAAGCGTTTGTGTATTTTTTGTTTCCATTGAAAATGCACACGACTGTGCAGTGTGTAGTCCACGCGATGCATTTGACAGCCAATTCCAAAAGCAGACAATCCAATTGAGCATAAACGAATTGCCTGCTATTTGTGGCCTGCGAATAATTAACTGTAAATTATATCACTCTCTCATAATGTATAGATAACGAAAGTAAGCAGTAAAAAAAATCAATCGTTCGGTTCGGCCTCGGTTTGTTCGCGTATTCATCATTTTCTTGCTTCGGTCGGATCGTTTTGTGTGTGTGTGTGTGTATATTGAATGTTTTTGTAGAATTTTTGTTGATTAATTTGTATTCGGACGCTTGGTGAGTCCAATATTCTCTTTTAATTGAGTTGAGCGCTTAGTCTGTGTTGCCGTTTTGACAAATGTACATGTTTTGCATAATCTAGTTGGTGCTGTGTATTGTTCACAAAGTGTAAGTGAAATTTGAAGAAACAAAAATTAATGTGTGCCGCTGTCAACAAATCGGTTGCTATGAATGATTTTACTAGAGAGTGGGATAGAGAGAAAGAGACAAGAAAAAATCTCAGCCGCGTGAATATTTAAAAATAATATAAGACTGTTGTTGTCTCTGTGCATTATTCAATCATAAAATACCAAGTTTATTCCTTATTGACTTATTATAATCCTTGTTTACATGTCGGTCTGAAACGATAAGTTCAGTTATATTTTTCTGGGAATTTTGATGCAGCATCCACGTACTAGTATTAAATTGCTTCTGAATCAATTCTGATTTATGGCTAAGTAAGATAAATGAATAATTCCCCAATGATTTTGACATAAGTCACTACATCGATAATAAGCAAGAACCGCACATTAACTGGAAACACAGTTTGGCACACAAATGTTCCGTTGATCAAGATCAATGTCAGAAAAATACTCGATTTATTGTAGCTACAGAATCAGTTCCCAATGACGCAATGAATCAAGTTGTCATTCAACTGGTTGATAACTCAACCGTTTCAGTTTCAACTAAATAACCGAAGTTGAACTCTGATAAAGACCATCAAAAACTGCCAAACTTGAACCAATCACAAACTTATGACTAATGTTGCTATGTTCATTCGATCTGTGTTAACTTACTGATGTATCAACGGAAGCTATACTTCAAGATCCCATACGTAGTCTTGATGTCAAATTTAAAATATAATTTAACTTGCTGAAAACAGCAATTCAGTTTAGGTTTAACGTGCAATCTAAGCTGACATGAAATGATTTTTTTGTAGACAGCAGATCATACAAAAAAAAATGATGATATATTTATTGCAGCTCTTAATTACGAAATTGAACAGGGTTTCCGTTGTCTACTCACGTATGTAACGTATTATCATTATTATCAACGGTCGAACCCTTGCTTACTAGCAATGTGCACATGCATCCAGAACAATAAACAAAATTGGCATCGTATAGCACAATTAAGTTTGTATTCTGAACAATCGTTTTTCCGTAAATACAATTTACTCGACTGCACATTTTCATTTAATCTACTCACTTGAAAACGCATATAGATGTAAGTTCAGCCTTGTAAAAATGTAAAATTCCATCACATTTAATGTAAGCACTATAGTGAGGTGGTAGCAATGTTCAATATTCTTGTTCACGATTTTTTTGATGAAAGATTCACGAGTTTGCGTTTTCGCAAATGACCACGACTTTATTTGGTTAGTAGTACAGTTGACATTCTTTTCACGTAAATGGCTTTGTGCGTTTCTTCTGAAATTGTTAGTAGCATGTGAAATTCTTTGTCATTTGCAGTGCAGTTTATTCTATTTGGTTTCGTTGCATTTTTCATTCTCAATAAAAAAACAAGTCAAATAAAATTGGTAATTATTCGATGACTCTCTAATAATTGTTTTGTTAGCAAAATTCGATATCTTTGCCATTTATTTATAGCCATTTCGCGCAATCCAGATGCAATAAATCAATTGATTTGGCAAAAATGAAAAAAATATGTCTATGACTTTCAAATCTGATGCAATTGAACGAATGTTATTTTGAATATGTTTTGAAATTTTGGTTAGCGATAACGTCACTATGCTTTTACGTGAGCCAAAGAGAAATTCTAATACCATTATCAAGTTCGGGTCAATTTTTTGTTCGGCACAAAATGACACCATCACTGTGGCGTTTTTTCTCTCTGTTGATTTGAATTTTATCAGTACACAAAACAACGCTGATTCTATTCCATTTTAATTGAAACCAGAAGGCGACATATTCACACAGCAAACAAATGTTGCACTCAAATCAAGTTTAAAAGTGGAAGTTGCTTGACCGAAATAGAAACAATCGCACCAAAACATCAACTGACATTGAATTACGGCTAATGATTTATTCAAAACAATGTCTATCAATCAGATGATATTGGGCCCAAGTATTTGGCTACACTGTATAAAACGACCAAAGGTGACATATTGGTCATCATCTATTCTAAAAGAATACATTGTCAGTAGTTGAAACAAACATGCACTCTGTGAAAAACCGAGGTGAATGTCAAAATGCCTATCTTTGTTATGCTCTCTAATGACGAAAAACTGTTGTTATCACGCCAAAAGAATAGATTTGATATGGTTGGGATGTTATGTACAACATTGTTCGTTGACTAAGCCTCAGTTCATCATAGAAATCGAGTCGAATAGCATCTACCGTATTTTCAAGAAGATTAACGCTCTTGTAATTTTTATTGTGTGTGTGATTTTATTGATCGGTCCAAAACTGTTTTTAACTTTGATAATTTGACAGTGAAATATTAACTTTGGAATTTCTCAACAGGTTTCCTTGGAACGACTGAGCCATGGAGTATTTAAAAAGTAAGGAGCTGCCCGATAACCCCAGAGAGAACGCCAACTGTTGTTCGTATCTTTGTTTTTGGTAAGTATTTCCAAAATTATTCTATAAAATGAAAAAAAAAATCTCTTTTGAGTTTATTAGGACATTTGAACCCGTGAGCATAAAAACAACGTATTGACTCTTCGCCGATGAATACGAAACGCAAAAAAATCGCCGAACAAAGTGAAACACCAATCTGTTATTGGATCAATATGAA